AAGTGTAAGTATTGCATATTAGCTTGGATGGGCAAATCAAGAAAGTCTGGATATAAAGGTTTACAGACAAATACGGAAGAAGTGTTTGTGATTCATTTCCTTTGTTCAGCTGTGCAAAGGATTCAGGTTTTGGCTGGTAAAACACTGCTGAGCAGAGCTGTTTGTATAGTTGCTTGTGTGGTCATTGCTCCATATCTACACTGAGTCTACATTGACAGAACAGTTGAGATTGCACACATGCAGCGCAACAAACTACCATGAGATGAGGAAAGCCATCATCTGAAGAATAATTCTTGTGCCATCACTGCGTGTTCATTTTAAAACACGAAAGCCTGAGCTTGAGATGTGTAAGTTCCCAGTGTTGGTGCACTATTACCAAGTCACTGTGATGTGAACAAAAGACAACAGAGCTGCTCAGATAAGAAAAATGTGTGCAGAGAAAGAACAAAAGAGACAGTATAATGAAAACAAGATGGTGCACACTTTTACTACTATGGTTAATTAGTGTTTTGAGGAATGGTAGCAGTACCCAATAATAATGTGTAATTTTCAGAATTTCATTACAGACCTTGAGTAATTGTAGGCAACGCAAGGATGAAGAACATTCTCCAGTTATACCTGTAAACACATCATTAGGTCTTTTACTGCGTTTAAAAAACGGTTTGTTTCTTATCGCTTCTCATATGAGCAATAACATTTATTAATGAGTACCTTTACCTGCCAAACTGATCGAGTTTCAATGTGTTATAGCAAGGGGCCTTTGATGTGGGGAGGTGATATGATTACAATTTGTCTCTGTATGGATGTTCATTGCTCCCACCCTGAACTAAATGATATAGGACAAACAAAAAACAGCCATGTCAGACAGAATAATTTTTGAGCATGTTTTTTTAAAGTAAAAATCCTATTCACTTCAATTTCATTTAAACTGAATTTTAATAGGTTCATTTCAATTTAATGCACAAATTTTAATGTGGAGAACAGAGTAAAATATGCTGTGTACAATCATTGCATGAGGGCAAATGTATATTTTTTTCCTAGGCAACATGTGGAATATGAACACTGTGTGTTTGCCGTACAGCAGGCGCTTTGTATCTGGCTTTAGGGTGAGGGACCAGCCATAAATCAACAAAGGACAGTTCTGTACAATGATGCATGTCCATCCATAGCAGCAGCAAAACATTAGTAGGCATGCAGCTGAGTGTGCGAGCCTGCTTCTGGCATTTGATCAGGTGTTTACACTGAATGCTCAGTCATCCAGATGGGGGGCCTTAAACAAACATTCACTCTCCTTATATGAATGAAAGCCACTCTCTGCTGGGTGGAACCTGTTGGCTTATTTTTCAATTGTTCTCATTTCTTCATTAGTGATGCCTTATGGTTTGAAATCTAGCTATATTCAAAATCACTGAACTGTATTTAGCACCACAGAGCCATGCACCAAAGTAACAGATGTATCATTTACAACTAAATGCTCCAAATGGATTCAGATGGCTAAAGCCTACTCAACCTTTTGAACCAACTGTAACACCTTGGATAATTGCATTCTGTTTCTCAGGAAGTAATTTATCAGTTAAAGGTCAGGAGCATTATTTGTAACACAAACTGAGCCTGGAATTGTATGATCCAGCACACAGTCTTTAGTTGTTGTTTTTTTGTTCTTTTTTTTGCTTAGTCACTTTGATATGCATGTGAATGTCAAATTAGCGAACGAAGCCCTAATAGGCAACCATTATTGCAAGTGAGGATTGTTTGTACTAACCTTAGGTCTAATGACTTATTCAATCACCAAGTATTGTGCCACTGCTACCATTTCCATCTCTAAACAGCAGCTGAATTTCATTTTCCAAAACCATGGATACACTTGAATAAAATACACATTTCCGACCATAGCCAGGGCCTAATTGGTTATCTGAAATACTAACAAGGTTCTGTTGGTTGCTGTAATTAAATGGGAAGTCATTGTCATGTTAAGTATGTAATTAAGTGAGACACAGATGATCTCCAAGAACTTTCTCTCATCAGTGGCACTATGCTACAGGGTACCCGGAATGCGAAATACACTGGTGATTGAGGCATAGAGAGCTGCAGCTTCTCAAGCCATATAATCAGTGAGACGCTGAAAAGATAACAAGAATCTGCCTAAAAGTACAAACTGCCGTCGTATTGTTTAGCTCTTGTGAAGCTCATCTGTGAGCTGTTACCACTGAGAGAGAATATGGCATCAAGCCAAAGTGGCAGAGCACAGATTAGACTCCTTCACTGCCGCATGAACAAAGGAAAAGCATCAGAAATTGATGTTTCAGTTTGTAATAAGGTGAGGTACTGCTTTACGTGCTCACAAAATATCTATTTTAAGGCACGATTTGAGACATCACAGGGTGTTGTCTGGATACAGTGGCAGCCTTTTAAAAAACAGCAATTCTTTATACATATTCACGAGTGGAGGAGGAAAAAAAAACAAATCAAGCTATATTTAAACTAATATGAATTCCACAATAAGCCTCAGCAGGATTCATCTTTCTGAAAGAATATTTAAAGGTAGTGCCTTCTGCAGCACTATCTTACTATTTAAATATGCTCTGCACTTCACAGTCAAGATCCATCAAAGAAACAATGAGGAAATCTACATTCATAAAGTTCCAATAATGTTTTGTAATGGAACATTACACTGCAGTGAACAACCAAAAATCCTTCTTTATGGAGGCACTAAAGCGCTGTGAACCAGAGAAACACAGCCACTGCCATGCGTTATATTACTTAGAGATATTCAGACTGCAGTCATGGTCAGAGCCATTAAGGATCCCCACTTGTTTATTCAGAATTTAAAGACCAATAAAGCAGATTTCTCTTCAAGTCTAAAGTTTCGGAGTGTGTAGGGGAACTGTTATCTGCAGATCAGCTGCCCTTGGAAGGGGTGACAGTTCTTTCACTTTGCACCTGCCGGTGTTTAACGCCACGCTTCTCACACATTTCATCTCTGCATCTGGACGGCACCAGATGCTGCGGAATAATTTCTCACACAGGTGAAAGTTCCTCTCCTTCGCATTTGAACCACAACTCGCTCCACATTTCCTTCAGTTTAGACACATCAAAATCTGCCGGTGCAATCGCTGAAGTATTTTTTCATTTTAAAGCCCCCTACTGCACCGCAGGGAGGTAAAAATCGACAGGGAGGGACACTAGAGGGGGACTTGCTCCCCCGACTCATTTAATTTGCCCCAAGCTGAAAAATAAGAATTTAGCCTGATCCTGAAAGGTGGCTTATCTCAAATGCATCACAATGTCCAAAAAGCAGAAGGCTGTCTCGCAGGGCAACAATTCTTTCTCCGAAAAGCTGAATAATACATGCATATCTCTGTGATCCGGTGAATTCTATAGCCTATAGAAAAAGGATTGCTCTCAACGTAAACCATTTTTGCAAGAGGCTGTTCTCTTTCCTCAAGTCCAGTCTCCCATAAATAATTTGCCTTCAACCTTCACATGCATAAAAATTGCAACTTGTTGGTTATGAGAGAGAACAGTGAGGATGCACTTTGAATGCCAATGCGGCGATGAATAAACAATGGCTCACTGCTCCAGGAGCAATGCAGAGCTGCCAGAAGACATTGCTTTGAGTCCACGGGCTCTTTTAATGGTTTTTGCCACAGACCAAGCCTTTCAGTCAGCTGTGAATAGGAGGCTGTTTTGATCTGGGAGGGAACACTTTAATAATTTCTAACAAAGCAACAATTCCCCAGGCACTTTGGACAACCTTGGCTGATTCCTTCTGATTATCCTCCAGCCACTCAACTCTTTAAAGCATGATTGAATGGCCTTTCTGGGGCTACAAGCTTACAGTATGTGATGAATAACACCTAGATTCACAGCCTGTGGTCTCCAGCCGTAGTCAGCGCTATCATCTATAACAGGGAGGATCAATCACACTCCCTAAACAAGGTTTGATCACTTCTTCACTTAATCCAGGTAATGGTAATGGAAACCTCCCCCGAAATACTGTATGAAGACAGTACAAACAACAAAATAATCAGGGTCCTGCATTTCTGAATAGATTTAGAAAACAGTCAGAAAGGCAAACCAATGCCTAAGATCTCCCAAGAATACAGTAGAAGCTTCTGCCATCTTTAGAAGTGTTACAGTGCCACCTGGTGAGCAGCCAAGGAGGATGGAACTGCACAAAAAGTAGTTCCAAACTGATAGCAACCATATGACCAAACTAAAAGATTATTTTAGTTGCTCTTTGAATATGTTACTCAAAAGGTAACTTTAAGACACATGAAGATCTAAAAGAGCATTTGAAAACTAGCATCAGCATTTCTGCATTCACCCCAAACTTTTATTTTGACATATTCTCATATTCCATTATTAGAGCAGCCTCATAATGTTATGGTGTACACCGTAAGTCATTACCATTCTTTAAAAACTGACTTTTTAGTAGCTTAGCTCAGAGTACTATGAAGATTTCATGACCAACAGGCAGTGGGATGATCTGACACAAACTGAAATGATATTTTGGACACATATTCAAATGTTTTTTTTGTTCGTATTGTAAACGAATTGTTGTTAATTGCTGTGACTATTGTCAGTCACAGGCTCCGCATCCTATGATGTCTTTGTATATTGCACGTTTTAATGATAAATTCTTTGTGGTTCACGCTTACAATTAAGGACAGTTTGTGCTCTTGATTAAGCTGCTGTTACTGTTTGCATAAGGCCTAATATTTTTTTTCTACTTTAAAATTAAGCTTTAGAGAGTTATTTACTTACTTACTGATTTAAAATGTACTGCCCAGGGAAACGTATGCTAATGAAAAAAACGTTAAACTGTTTCATCATAGTCACAAGTGTTTTTTTCCCCTGGATATATGCAAATCCAGGGAACAAAAAATAATTCTTACCAACAATGTTTATAGATTTTTTTTTTTAAAGTGAAAAGGTTAAGGCACTACCAAGTGAATTTAAAAGTGGGTTAAAAAGAGGGAAAAAACATATCTACTTTATTTAGTTGATAATATATCTTTATTTCACTAAAATAACTCATAACATGTCTTAACCGAACATCCTCATCTACATGTCGAATCTGAAATAGCGTCTTTAATGAATAAAACATCATATCTCATGTAAAACACCAAATTGGTAAAAGTTCCCTATAAAGAGGAAATAAAGTTCTGTGACAAAAACCACAATGTCATACAAAATACACTTTTTATACCTAACTGCATGAGCTGATTAGCCTTAAAATTTAGCATAATTTGCCATGGTAGCTTTGACCATAACAGAAATCATAGCACTCATTGTTATTCATGTTTGCATTTCACAATGCATGATAAAGAAAATGTGAAAAAGTGCTATTTTAGCATTAGACAATGATTCAGAGCAAGCTGTTTCTTACAGGAAAATATATAAGCTGTATATCAATAGGCTCCATGTACACCACGTTAAGACAATGTGTTTCATACACAGTTATCCTCAAAAGTGCTTGTTGAAGTCTGAGCAGACTAAGATAGAAAACAAAATATACAGTACATTGGCCACATGTTACTTGTTATTTGTACAAATATAATACATTTAAAACTTATGTTATCTTACACACGTCCCTAAACTTTAAAAACAAAATAAGTTAATTTACCTTGTCTCCCAAATTATGTAGTTTAGACATTAAGTTAAACACACCAGAAGTCTTTGTCCTCAAACATGCATCTTACGATTACAGTTACAGTTCTTTAAAGTTAAGGACTATATCTGAATACAACTGATTTGTCCCTTTTTAACTTCCCTGGAAGCCGCTGCAACAAACGACAGCATGGCCCCAGCTACAGCCTCATTCACACTTTTTGTAGCAGCTCCTGAAGGTTAAAACAAACACATTATCAACGCGACAGTCTGTCGATCTGGCTGAGGATAAAGTGCAGTTCTCCTTTGGCCCCATGTGGAATCAGATAAAACGTGGAGGCTGAATCAGTCGTAGACCCCAGCCTCTGATCTCAGTGCAGCGTGATAAAAAGCCTCATGGCCCAAAGCCTTGGACAACACTCTCTGACCGCGGGGGGACATGCAGCTCTGGCCAGGTAAATATCCTGCCACAGCTTTACTGGATCTTGTGGGTTTAGGCCTGGGCGCTGCGTAATACCCCTCCATGTGGTCATATTGTGTAGGCCTGACTTTAGTGCTCTGAGTTCTTCTGTTTGGCTGAGTGGAAAAGGATTCCAGATGTTCTGGATCTGGAGGGGATTTGGTGTTATAATGATAGTAGTGACGGTGCTCTCTGGTGCTTTGTGACCGCCCAGGTCTCCTTAGGATGCCGGGTTTCACCATACCAGAATAGCTGTTTACAGCATTGGCCATCATTAATCGATCCTGGTAGCATCCCTGCCTATGGCTCCTGTCATTGTGCTCGATATTCTTAAAATTTGGACAGCCTTGTTCTGGGAGGGAGGGGACTTTCCGAAGCCGTGGCTGCTGTGAGGTGTCATCTTTGATCTTAATCCTCCGATGTGGCGCCATCTCTGCTCCAGAGCGCTGTCCACTGTGCAGCCTGGTGACTTCAAGGTCAGTTTGTTGGGACCTCCCAGAAGCTGGGGACGTAGCTCCAGGATTTGGGCTTTCCGTCTTGTCGGCTGAGAGGAGATTGGCATTTCCGGGGTCTGACTTGCTTCTCGTATGCACAATGTCCCTGCTTCTCGAGTCTTCCGGTGAGACCGGACTCTCGCAGGGAGACACAGCCTGATATGTGTTTTTATGCCTGGATTTATTTTCCCGTTTGACTGGTTGATAAACGACTCTTTCAAAAACTCCTGCATCCCTAGCTTCGAACACAACAGTGTCTCGGCTCTCTACATAAAGCTCTCTGTTCACAGGAGGGACGCGATGTGGAGAGCAGTTGTAGTAATCTGATTGCCCGCTTTCTCTCGTTGAACGGATGCTATAAGACTGACTATGATGGATGCCACTCTGCTGGCAGGGATCTATAAAATAATGGGGGCTATCGGCTGGATTCATATCTGAATAAGGGCTGTAGTTGTATTCGGCACGCGTGTTCTCAAACTGCTGCCGTACAGGGTGGATACCCGTTTGAATCAGCCTCTGATACGGCGCCCGCTGCCTTGTTTTTTGCTCTAAATAAAACATGGCGTCAGGGGGCTGCACGGCCAACTCGTAGTGGCTAATTTGAGGGGCGTGGAAGGACCGAGCCCTCCGGATCGCTGGATGCCCACCTACTCTATCTTCGGACCTCTCCCACGGCCCTTGCTGCCTGTGAAGGCGACTGACAAGGTGCTCATCTTTGTGGTAACGTCTGTACTGAGGTGACAAAGGCTGCCGTAATCCTAGAGAGCTGCAGCGGCTCTCAGAGGACTGCCTGTACAAGCCTTTAGGTCCAGAGAGGTGGAGTGGCAGAGCACTGGGCCGCAGGCCGTGAGACGCGGGCATTCGCCCTTCATTAACTGACCGATGATGATGATAGTGATTACTGTAGACATTCTCTACCATGCCAGGAGCTCTGTCCTCTTCTGGGCTGTAGTTATGGGCCAAAGAGGTCTGTAATGGACGAGGAAAAACCTCCTCAAGGGAGGCGGGCATAGAGGATTCAGCAAGAACAGCACGGAAATTAAAAACATCCACAGAGTCTGTGTTGGCGTACACAGGAGAAGTGGACGGGCTCTGAGCGGAGCACATAGGCTGAGATGGCGTTGAAACTCCGACACTCTGATAAGTGTGCTCCTCTCGTGAGACATCCCCGGGCCTTTTTTCCTCTCTGGGGTCCCTCCTCTCCGCACTGCCTTCCTCCAAGCTGCCGGACCCGAGCGGGCTGACGTTAGGAGTAAAATTGCACACACTTTCCTGACCGTCGGTAGCTTGTAGCAACTCTGGGCAAAGGTGCGCGGGTAGAAAATGAGCTGGATTTGGGCAGCAGTGGGCCTCCGAGGGGCTTTGAACTGAGGCTGAGTGCCACTGAGAGGCAGAGGAAATGTGAGAGCCACAGATCTCCTGTTGGTGCACTTTGAGATCAAGAGCAGAGGGCCGTTGCAGTCTGTCGTGATGATGAGCTGCTTCCTGTCTCTGGAGAGGGTGCAGCGGGGCGTTGCTCCTTCTCTGAGAGACACTGCTCGCCTTCTGGGCAGATTCAGCCAGAGCCAAAGCCAACTTCCGCGCGGCACTCGTCAAGGGAGGGTGAGGAGGGAGAACAGACACTGAGCTCATAAGTCTATCTGTTCCTGGGGAGGGATAAGACAAACAACGCTACAGTATGACAGGACAAACAAAGCTATGGTAAGACATGATGGGACAAGACACAAAAGCTTTCATAAGAAACTACAGAGTGCATTATAGTTTAAATAGAAGCTAACTATAAATAGTAGTGTAGAGAAACGATTGTGTGATGTTACGGATGGGCACCACTGACCTGGATCGGGCAGGTTCTGCGCAGACTGGCTGAGTTCTGTAATGGCCGATGCTTGGCTTGCCGTGCTGAGAGGGCTGCAGTGCTGAAAGGACGCTCTGGGTTCTTTCCCATCTGCCGCCGAAGCTTCATACTTATCCACTTGGGGGGATGAAAATGGCACAGCTGGCGTAGCGGCGGAGACGCTCTGAACATCTGCGTGCGATTTCACAGATTTTTTCCTTAGCTTAGGGGAGAGCTGCTTAGAGGTCATCTTCCTCCCACCTTTCCCCACAACTGGGCTAACATCTGGAGAGTGTGAGCATCTGACGTTATTGTTGGGAGAGGACACGGGCTCTGATTCAATGGAGCACCCTATGCTTCTCTTCCACTTGTTTCCGTCTTTTCTGTGCTGCAGCGCAGGAGTATTCGACGCTGGGCTGCACTGAAAAGACATGGGGTCAAAGTCTAGAGTAGACATTCCAGCAGCCGGGGGGAGGAGGTCCAGATCGTCCTCTGGATGTGGAGAGGAAACACATGCTGCGGTGCAGACCCTACTGACATCTTCATGACTCTTATTCGCACCGTGTGTCCTATGGCTGTCTTTACTTCTGGAGTAGTGCACATCTTCTCTGCTCAAGAGAGAAATGGCCTCACTGGTTGAACGAGGTCTGAGGGGACGGTAACTTGGAGGTTGCCCTGTGATGGAAAGCAATAAATATAGATTTTTGGTCTTTAACAAATATACAAATCTTTTACAAAAAGAGTCTATTAATTGTTCCAATATTAATGTCTTACCCTCTAAATTTTGTAATGAAGTGAGAGATTCTTCACTCTTGGTCGAGCGCAGTGTGCCGCTATCTCCCCGTCCACCTGCAAACGTTTAAAGAAAAGTGTTTTTTTTCCAGGAATTACTTGCCAGCACTAAAACAATGATGCATTCAAATGTCCAGATAAGGACGACCGAACTAAGGTTCAGAAAAATGATGTTTAGGTTGCATAATAGCCAGAATGAGCTGACCTGGCAGTGCTATGCTCTTTATCTCATTAGGTTCACTGGGGTGTCGCTTCAGTTTGCGTTTGGACACAGAGTGGGACTTGCCCAGGTGGAAAAAGGAGAGCCAGTTCCCCACAGGAGACTTCTTCGCCTTGATAGGAGGCCGTTTGCCGCTGAAACACAGAAACAGACGATCTCTCGTAAAGAAATCTAAGAAAAGTGAATTCCTACATACAAAGACATGAGTAAAAAACTATGTGGGATAAAACCTTTCATTGATATCATCACATTTTTTTCAAATGAAACAAGCCAATTATTTTTTTTTAAGTCCACAACTGAAGCTCACATTATTTTAAAATGTAAGGTCACACAAATAAAAAGCAAAACTTAAAAAGAGAAGAAGTATTCAAACAAGACTTCTGTCTTTAGGCCGTGAAAATTCATTTTTATTGGCCAGAATTCTGATGGAACAAAAATGTTCCATTAAATAAATATTATACTTTACTCATCTCATCCTGCATGATCCTCCATCATCCTCCAGAAAGATTTCAAAATGAAAAATAAATGTACCTTTCCATCGGGAGCTCGATGACTGTGTGGAATTTTCCGAGGAGAGCTTCCGGTCCTTCACCAACCTCGATATAGTCGCTCTGGGTAAGGCAAGGCGTTGTAGCTGGGGAGCCGAGCTGTGCCTGAGTACGAGCCTGGGCCTCCTCTAAAGACAGCAACTTTGTGGACGGGGAGCAGACCATCAGGGATTTTGGTCTGGATAATGTGTTGTTTCCTACATTTTAAGGCGTCAACAAAGGTAAAGCATGTCAAATATGCATAAAAATCATTTTTAGCATTTTTCAAAAAAAAATTCTGTTAATTCCTCGCACACGGATGACCTACCAGCGCTTTCTCTAATGACAGCATTGAGTTTGGAACTGAAGAGGGTTTCAGTGTTGTTGAGAATAAATTCCACCACCACCGACTGGATACGCACTTCCATGAACGCTGCTGTGCCACTAAAACAGGCCGACTCTATCTGTCTGGACCTGAAAGGAAGCACAGCACAGCCCGACCCGTTTCACAGCTTTGAACCACCAACACTTGCCCCAGTTTAAGGTCATAAAAGAGCTAGAAACGAACGCAAAATAGTGAAAAGTCACCTGAGGAGATTTGGTGCCCAGACAATGGCAAGGTTTTTTGTGTGCATATTGGTGATGGGACTGAAAGTAGCCAAACGGGAGAGATGCCTCATGAGGAATTCAAGAGTCCTGCAAGTAGACAAAAGCAAGCAAGAGCAATTTTTTACACTGTTAACTGCCTCTACCAGAAGATAAGGCAATGACAGGTGACTCCTATCTGTCCACTGAACATTAGACACAGAAAGCAAATTGCTGAATTTTACAATTCATTTAAATTTTTTAAAAACAAGACTGTGCTGAATGTGCATCTTTATCTGCTTATTGAGTTCACATAAACTTAAAGGATTTGTGTCTCTGCTGTGGAGCATCTGGAGCTGCGTTTCCTTTTCTACTTCCAGCCACCAGGGGGCAGCAGAGAGCTTGAAAGCTGACCTGTAATGCGGAGGAGGAAGCTGCTGGATGACATTATGGATTTTAACCAGCCTCTCCTCATCCGTAGCTGCAGACACCGCCTCCTGTGAAGAAACAGAGCACAAAATGTACATCACAGAGAGGCTGAGTATCGCAGCAGAGGGAGTTACACTGTCATCCCCAATCCTTTCTTCCCTTTTATATTCAGAATTATCCACGGTTCAGATCACTTAATCTGCCATTCGGTTTAAGGGTCCTCATTCTCTGCTGTTCCCAGAAAGTTCTGCATAACACACTGACCCCATTTTGTGTATCCCTTGAAAAAAGGCTCACGTTTAGACACAGTTTCTGTTGTTTTTGTTGTCACTGAGTGACTAGAAATTTAATTTTTTTCATGATACCTCATCCCACCAAATTCCATCTTCCAATTCCATATTTTCCCCAAGCATTAGTAAAAGCATGAATTTGGCTACTTTCTTACTGAGAATCTTTCATAGAGCTGATAAGTGAGCAGAGGGTTGGGCAGCTCTCTGAAATAGAGCTTGCAGAGGGAGCCGACTGAGTGGATATCCTGCCTGAAGACGTCTCTGCTCAGGTCTGGGATCTGCTCAGAGTCAAACTCGTGCCTAGATGGGTCAGAGAGGAACATATGAAGACAAAAGCATGGGAGTCAGCCGACCGCTCAACCGTCAGCATTCAAGCACAGGAACTAAGAGCATTTATAACATTATGAACCACTTTTTGCAACATGGTGTCCTCCCATTTTAACATAAATGATTGTCTTAGATAATTCACAACTATTAACAACATTATTCCTTCACAAAATCGTAGGGTCAATTTGGCCATTAATTCAAGAAACATCCTTTGCTGATCACTGCAATAAATCATCAACATGTCATTTACTGCCTTTTCTAAAATGTCAAAACATCAATTCATGTGATGAGTTTTTCAAGAGGAGTTTTTGATTAGCTGTCAAATCCCATCATCTCAAGGGCCTCCCAATTTCTGTACTGATAGGAGTTTGTTTGGAAATATCCTCCTGGCAAGCGTAAAACAGATGAGAATACCAGACAGCCACTCAAAGTTGCACAGCTTGAAGCTAATAGTGAGCGACTGACTTCAGGAGAAGGAGCTCAGAAACAACTTGGAGAGCAACATCCACAGCTGGTGATTGTGGGCTCTACAGCTACTTAATTTACACTATCTTTATATTTCTAATCATAGGTCTAGACACAAAAACACATTCACCATACACACCTTACTCAAGGTGTTTACATTTAATATAAAGAAAATAACAACCTGAGGGATTGTTTAGGAGCTGCATTGAATATGGAGACAGCACAAACCTCAGTTTCTGAATGTTGGAGGAGATCCCTGAGAGTCTGTAAATACCGTCCACGACCCCGTTCTTCTCAATGAACTCAGCACAACACTTCACCACCTGTGGGACTAAGGTGAACAAACAGCAGGAAGCACTGTGATTTTAATCAGCCATATATCAATTTAGAAAAAAAACTACTGAAGAATTGACAGCTCTAAGTCTTTTTTAAATCACACATCACAATATTTTAAACGCTCATGGACTTACTGCAGAAGTCTACCTGGAAAATTGATTTTTTTTACAGAAAAACACATTATTTACTCATGTTTTATACTGCTCTGGCTTCTGCCCACCCTTTTCCAATGCAGCAATATATCTATGCACATATCTCCTCCAGCCTCCTCTCTCCTCCCTGTTTTTAGGAAGTTAACAGTTCCCAGATTACAGGCAAGAAGGAGGAGATACAGGCCAAGGAGGCTCACTTTGGACGGCTAAGATAGGCTGTGAGGCAAGCCAAATGAGCCAGGAGGCCGACTTTATGCAAATGTGTTCAGTAATGATGTAAATAACAAGAGATTGAAAAATCTGGATGACAAATCAGGCATTGTGTGCAGTTCAGAAGTAGAACATTCCGTGAATAGATAAAACTCATTCAGTGTGGCTTTAAGACATTACCACTCTGCAAGCCACTGATACGCAAAAGAACACTCAACACATTGAGCAAAAGCGGAGAAAAAGAATGATATCACCTTGTTCAATAATGTTGAAGGATAAAAAATTGTTCACCACCCAATCTGACTTCCAGCCAAAGTCGGTTCCTTTATATCTCAAACACATCACTGGCACACAGCGCTGCACAGTGTGGCACGCTGCTCTAAATGCAGGCACACAAGTTTATTTTGAGTGAATCCCAAAATACACAGTCCTTGAGCTGTAAATACTCATCTGTGCACCAAATGTGCATGGATCAAGCACCCCATCTATAAAAGCCCACACCCCCCAGCTGCAATAGGCCATCTTTACTGGCTGAAAGTGTGTGTTTTTTTTCATCTACGCTCTATATAAGTATGTACGGTCATTTGTAAAATGAATATGCCGATTCACTCAAATCAATAAACGACTAAATTAAAAAAATCATTATACCTCAGAGAAAAAAGTGTGACTTTAATCCAAAAATCTTCAAATCTAATCTCCGTCATTGCATCCGTTTAGACATCTGCAACAATAATGACATGGCCTTTTTCTCTCAATTGTTTTTCAAGCCTTTTGACTTTTCTGGCGAATTTACAAGGTTTTTATGCCAAAGCATAGAGTTAGTGAGTATTCTCCTTTTACTTCTTGGAAGTTTACACAGAAATGCAATCAACCAGAAAGCAAGAACTACACAGAAGAAAATTGGAAACGTGAATTCTAATTGTAGGATCGTTGTACCTTCATGTCCTGAGTTGTGGAGATGCTCCCCGAGGTCACAGCCGAACACTCTCTCTCTGAGGATGCCGCGCTGTCGCAGCTTTTGTGGCGGAGGCCGAGACTTCATAAAAGACCTCAGGAATGTTACGAGCTTTCCATGCTTCTTGCACACTGATGAAGATGACACAAACACACTTAAAAGCCACTTTAAAATCAATCAGATTCCCGTCCAGGGAGCAGATCTTGAGGACCCATCACACATTTACATACGCTGCAGATTACCTGGCTTTGGCACCGAGTTCTGAACACTGGGGGGAACCTTATCATTTATCAGCTCAACACAGTCGCATGGAAAGAAGCCAACCTGCAAGAAAAGAGAGAAGAGACGCATCTAAAAAATGAGGACAGACAGAGATGATGTCACCCTGTAAATTTAAAAATACATGAGGCAAAAGCATGAGAAACAAGTTGGCTCTGACTTACCACGGCTAGCTTGGTTTATTAAGCCTGGCAATTAAGGTGAATATGAATACATTTAATTATTTTTGATAACAAACAAAAACAAACAGCAATAGGTCTCCCCATATTAATCCCCTACTGTATATGTCCCCTAAATACCAATAGAGTTTGTCCATTATTATCCCCTACTAAAATTCAGGTATAGCAATTTCACTGTGAATATTGCTACACAGAGCATTGAGTTTTAGGCAGATAGTTCACCTGAAAGCCATGTTTCCCTCTCCACCAGCCAGTGTCTTCTTTAGGAGGCATGTCAATGACCGACACAATGTCCCCCACCTAAATCAGGGAAGAGTGTGAAAGTCTGATTGCAGCCAAGCTCAAATGGTGTTGAGATGGGATTACGAATAACATAGAAAATAAATCCGGTGAAAAAAAAATGCACCCAAATAAGAAATACAAATCCAGAAAAATGGTCATCTTGTGTTATAGCGGTCACCTCGAAGGTTAGCTCATCCGTGGCCTGAGCCGTGTAACGCTTGGTCACGTGGGCGGCAGCAATGGCAGGGACATTAATGGAAGCTTCCTCAGACACTAGAAGATGATTCCCTTTGTTGTCGATCTAAAAATAAAAACAAAGTAGACATGGTCGTTCAGCAAATATAAAAACTACATATCAGCAACGTGAGAGATGGATAGTCTTTGTCAGGTGTGACACACAGGAAGAAACATTGCAAGACACATTGTAAAGTAAAACTTTTTTTTTTCAGTCTTTACATCTTTTCTTAATATAATCTCATGAAAACCAGACAAATGTCTGTCTTACAATCTGTGTAAGATGTTCAAATATCTATCTGTCTTACAATCTGTGTAAGATGTTCAAATATCTTTTCATCACTTTTTTTTAGAATCCACTCTCATTGAGTTAATGGCAATCTGATTTTGAACAATGAAGACAAAAATAAAGCAGAATGTCCCACGGAATAACTACTTTCATTTATCAGTTAATCAACTGCATTATGTGGGAATCTTGAACTGTACCTAAACCCTGAAATGAGATGTTCAAATATTTTTGCCTCTGGAAATAGAAAGCACTACAGCGCAAGAGGTTAAAAAAAAACTGCAGGAGTGAACATTGAGCTCACTTTTCCCTGAAAGAAAATAATGTCGACACATCCACAGGCATGTCTCTTTTCATGTCCCTTTTCAGCTTTAACAGAACTGTGAGTTGATGCACTGCTATCAGAGTGCCAGCACAGACATTTGATCCAACACACAACAATTAAAAATATGAGTGCAAAATATAGCTAGATCTACCTGGCACCAACCGTTTGGTAAGACCTATGTGAACCCCTTTCAGAAGGGCTTTAAAGCTCCAGTAAATCACACACTGATTCGTATTTGTAAAAGTCAATCACTGCAGCTTTTGCTGGACTCAATGTTGGAAAATAACAAATAGGAAAAATCGGATACCTCCATCCATGTTAGTACTGGACCACAGTTGATCTTATTGTCAGCGATGGCGGAGAAGCGGGACAGGTATGTTGCCAACATTGTAGTTACTGACTAATGGTGGAAACACAAGAAATGTTAAATTCAGACAAGATAAAATACATGAAGGGAAACATGGAACAGAGCAAGGCTGCAGAGGATGCCTGAGAAATGTTACTTTTTAGAACGTGGGTGTACTGTCTCATTATCCTGAGATAACAAAACCAGTTTTGTTCTGATAAATTAATCATACCATAGTTCGAAGGTAACAGGGATTTGCTTTGTGGTGTTAATGGGTACATCTGTTTTACAGGCTTTTGAAAACAATGCACATTTTCCTGAGATAAAGAGTTAATATAGTTGGTTAGGTTGACAAACAGAACCGGCTTAATGATCAATTTTGCCCACAGATGCTAAAATCCATTGTAAAGAGCAGACGTTTGCTAAACTCAGTGCAGCAAAAACAGCTTCACAGGCACGCCTGCACCTGCATCTGGAGAAACCAAAGCTCATTTCTAACAATCACAGGTTCTAAGTTCTTAACTCTGGTGCAACTCAGTGCGATCTCCAGATAAAATCGGACCTATCTATAATTAGTGAAGAATGAAGGGCTCAGGTAACAAGCATTTGGCAGCAGGTGACAGTACCTCAAAAGTGTCCAGTAATGTGTTGTATCGGGGCAGCTCGGTGAGCTGGGAGTAACGGCGGTCATAGATACACAGATGCAAGTGTTTGTCCAACACACGGAAATCCTCATAAGATCTCGTCACCATCCAGCTTCGAGCCTGACAAAGAAAATACCCAAAAAAAGTCATCCTAAAATCAAATTGAACATTTCTTCTCCTGTGTGTCATCAGCCTGCCAACATGCAGTCAAACAGTAATGAGGGTGTTGTATCACAGACATCCCTGAAGGTCTGTTGTGAGCTTAAATACAACTTTCAGATTGATTGAAATTTGGGTAAAAATCAATCACATAAAGATTATGTTACCTGACAAGTGATCTGAACTAGAAAGACTAGTTCTTTTGAATCCAGACCAGGCTTTAGTCCATCATTTTGCCCCTCTGCGAAGGCCAACTAGGAGGAAAAAGAGCAAGGAAGAAGGAGAGAAAGAGGGTTCACACTGAGAAGATGGCTATACTAAATAATAGATAGATACAATGCAAAAATGTCTCTGTATTTCATATTGTATACAAGAACAGCATCATGTCTGGACTTTTTTTCCATTAAATAGTAAAAACCACTTTAACACTGAGTGAAGAGGAGAAACCCAAGAGACATGGAATCACAGGACGTGATGTCTAAAAAAAGATGGATTTCGTGTTCTTCGGCCATTCAACCACATAATCTTAAAGGTATTTTAGGACATTTTCTAATTGCCAACTTAGATGTGATCTCTTTTCTTACTTCCATAAATCCTTCAGTATGAAATGTATAATAGATCAGCTGCTAAGATGTCAGAGCTGGTAGGTGACATACATGTAGCACGCTTTCTTCTTCACAAGCATATTTCATGAGCTCCTAAACTGAAAAGATCAAAGCCTTGCAGTAGTTTGGGAATTTCTCGGTGTATACTGCTAGTCAATCGGCTTCAAAGGCCTGAAAAACCAAGGGAAGTTCTAGTTATTTATAACTGTTAGCTTCTCATCACGATACACAGTTGCATAACATGAGGCGACCTAGTTACTGCACGAATACAAAAGCAAACCAGATTGACAAAGAACACAGACTGAGAAATATCAAGAAGATATCTTATTATCTGCGATAGTTTACAATATATTTTCAAACCAGCTTGATTAAGCACTGAAGCGGGTCAAGAGGCCAATGAGATTATGAGGAGGATAATACACAAAAATATAGATTCCAGAAAAGGGAGCTTTATAAGATGATAGAAATTCAAAAGCAAAGCTGCATTTTCCAGCCTGGCATCACTACACTAATGATGCCGACACTTAAACTCAAACTTAAACATGCTAACACACAGAAATATCCCAAACCTTTGCACACACACATGCCTGCATTATGACGTTCATTCACAAGCATCTGCAACTAACACATAGCCATCAAACCTCTCCATGTTACCTCCCACTAAGGCATCTCAGATATCCATCTGCAGATGAGGGAAGTGTCTCTCTCTTTGTGTCCGGCTGCAGTCCTGGACCACAGTGAGCTTCTCCAACAAACCAAATCTTGGCTGATGGAAACAGAGTTTAAAATGCTGCTCCTCACTCACCTTTCGCTGTCCCCCTGCTGCCTCACACAAAAATCTTATTTGAATGGCTTTGGATCATCACACGCTGGCGCTCGATTCAAAGCGGCAAATATGAGATGAGGATGCTTCCCTATTTGTGTCTTACCCCCCCTTTCTGAATCCCTCTTTCGGTCTTTTACCCCTCCTCCTTCTCCTGTACTTATCACCCTCCCCCCTCTCCCTCTTAACCACTCTCCTTTCTCCGGTGACAAAGGGGGTTTTGCCAGTAAATGGGTCTCAACCACCACACACAAATGCACAAGCTCATCCATCATACAGGAGTACAAGAGGAATAGACGGCCCCTTCGTCATTTCCAAAGCGGCTCCCAGTCAAGTGAGACTGGAGCTAATCTGGTGTGGAATCAGACGGAGGCTGTCTGCTGCCCTTGTGCTATTCTGCAAGGCAGGGCACATGAGACCTGATCACAACCATGCATCGTTACAGCTGCAGGCTGTGATGGAGGACATATGCATGAGGGGAGACACGAGAACAAAGCCTCATCCCAGATTAGGTTAAAGATTCAGCACACTGGCACGTCATCACGGTGCATCTGTAGCTGCTGCACATGTGCAGCACAGCCCTCAATGTCGAGGTTTGATGTTTCACTTTCTGCACGGGTCGGCGTTTTTGTTCTCAAATGCAGTTTCTCAAGGTCACTGCAAGAGTTCCTGCATTTCTGTCGTTTAATGCATATTTAGCCACCACCGTCATGGCAACCACAGCAGGACATTTAACCGACAGAGTGAAGACAAATAAGGATTGCACACCGAGTCGAGTGCTCTACGGCTCATTAATGTACATTGTAAGAATTCAAAGTCGCAAAGGGTATCATGCACAGGTCAGGCGATGTTTTGTGTGAAGCTAAATTGGGAGGCTTCAGGCTGCGTTTAGAGGACTGATGCACTCTGCTGGACAGCAAACAGAACTGCATCAGGGACAACCAGGCAGTTAAAAGCATCTTCCACACAACTTCCCAGTTTCTTTTCATTACTGCCCTTTATAAAGCATAAAAATGTGTACATTACTCTCAAATGGTTTGTTGGACACTTCACTTAAACCCTAAATAATTAAGTGATCTAGGTTTTAAATAAAAATTGCCTAAATGTTATTATTGGTTCATGTGTTTCAGTATATCAGCACATCATAAATCACTTGTTAACATAGTATGTATGTTAACTTGATGGCACACCAACGTCATGCTAATATGGTCTTTTCAATACAGATAGTGACATTTTGTTTGTAACCAGCTTAATTAGAACTTTTTAAAGTGCTTGGATTTTCCATCTGTTCAAGAAAGGGACAAATATCAGACAAGGATATCGATTTAACTGCCACTCCGTGACACACTTTTGGAGCAGCTCGCTGAAATGAGCACCGAGCTCAAGCCAAAGATATAATTAGGAAACGCAGTAAATCTCTGCTAAGAATTTTCAGAGCTTACCTGAACGTTGCCAAAATCAACAGTCTCATAGTGGAAATGAGCACACTCTGCCAGTCTAGGGAAGTGACCCCTGGGGAACGTTAACCTAAAACACACAGAAGAGCATCCCATCAGCATTCAAAACACACTGGGGCTGCGATGAAGAGAGGAGCACAGAGAAAGAAAGGAAGGCCGATCGGGCTTATGTGTGAGAGCAGTGTTTGAAATGCAGCTGGCCAACTCGTCTGCCTGTGCAGCACCCGTCATTTCACAGGCCCTCATTTCGGTGGCCTGAATACGAGCCCTGGTTTACAGCCCATAATAGCAGCAACACTGTCACCAGGAGCACCTACTTCTTCATGTTCTTGACCTTCATGCTGGCTGTGCTGACGCAGGAGCGCAATAGGGGCTCGGCTGGATGCTCTATGATATCATCGCTCTTCACCTGCCACACAGATACAGCAAATGTTAATCAAGAGTCCGTTGGTAACAGGATGTTCAATACAAATGTGCAAATGTAGGTGTGTTTGTTTGTTCCCTTCGTTCAGAAAGTGGTTGTCAATGATTGCGACAAAGCAGATGATCAGAATCCAAAAGGGGAAAAAACTTATTTGCAGTGGTTTCATAGTGCATTAGAATGATGGTATGTTATGCGGCCTATCACTGCTGTTTTTAGTTTATAGCTGTCTTATATCACACCATTTTATGATATGTCCAAATATGCAATGCCTGCTACATGTTAAATTAAAATTGCATGTGCTTTTGACTCATTTATTTGAATGACACGCAACCATTTAAAGCATGATTCAAGAATAAATAGAGATACATAGGGCATTATAGGGTTAAATGATACATGTTTACAACATAAGTAAGTCTTTTTTAAATCAAAATACTAACCCTGCATTCTGTTTAAGACTAACAGATATTTACAGAAAAAGTCAAAGAGTAATTAGAAAAGAATACTGATAGAAATGACCAGAAGATTACATTATGTAACCATGACAAGCTGTCAACTTTAGCTCAGCTGATATCAGACAAGCCACTTGACTCTCAGGTTACACATCGACTGATACGCTTGTAGACTTTTATTACTGAGGAAGCTGACTGTCACATGACATGTGACTGTGATGACTCTCAGATGACATAAACGTGTGAATCACCTAAAGGAAGTGACATGTCCGGTTGGGGTTTATACATCTTATTGCATTGCCTATTAGTCAGTCAAGTGTATGCTTGTGTGTGTGTGTTTGGAGGGGGATGTACCATGGCAGTGGAAGGCTCCTGTAGGTGCTTCTCCTCTGGAGGACTGGTATTAGAAGCTTGAGGTAAGGCATTGTCTCTGTCCAGGTCAGTAGATGGTGGCACATCACTGTAGAAAAACAAAGGCAGAGTGTTAATTATGTCATGATCCAAAGGATTGGGTAAATGAGGCTGTGGGCTTGAATTAAGATGCGCAGTTGTTCAGAAATACACCAGAGGGGGCAAGTGAGGCTACTCCCTCTGAAGACATGGCTGAAATCATGACATTGCACCAGCATGCCTGAAAAAGCATGTTGCACTTGGACTGCAATTTCTGAACAAATGTCATCAGCACAAGACGAGAGAAATGATTTTGCAGACAATTCCGGGTAGCAATAACTGCAGTAAGATCCTCCTTTAGGTTGGTCTGAAAATATTAGCATCCTCTGTTGGGTCAGGAAAATGCCAGGAGGTCTCTTGTGTGCACTCAAAGCTCATCTATTCAGTGAGCCATAAAGGAAATTCACCCACGAGGGAGTGTTTCACAAAAACCCTCCTTTGAAAGGTGATTCAATGAGTTTGTGAGTGGAGGGTGAGGTCCTTACAAACAAACTTTTATTAGCAACAAAGACAGAAGAGAGACGGGACTTGGATTCATTACTGTGATTCAGCCTGACGAAATCAGGACTCATGGCCTCGAACAGAGACACACAATGCAATGTGTGTGATTCACAATGACACAACAAGTTGAATAAAAGGTTAATGTAAATCTGTGAGGACTATTATGACATCTGACAAGTTCATGTCATTGTCTTAATCTAATAAATAGGTCGCCTTTTAGTATTAACATTCCAGTTATTTATACAGCATCCTAAATGCAAAGACTCACGCAAAAAATTAAAACATAAGACAGACACATACTGTATACAAACACAGACCTCTTAACACACAGCAATAAATGTTTTTTCACGAGCAAGACGACCTGACACAAAGCAGGGGGATAAAGAAGCAACTCACCCCTCAAGGACGTCACTACTTCCTGGTTCTCCCTGGGGTCCTGAGGCAGCATTCTCAATCACCGCGGCAACCACACATCCAGCCTCCATGATGCTGCCTTGCTGCAACAGCCTGCCGTAGAGAAGCATGAGTGGGAGGAGAAGGGGAAAAAAGAGGCAGTGAGGGCGGGTGAGTAAGAGAGCAGATGATGGGAGGACTAGCCCAGAGCCACGCCGCCGCCAGACGCTAACCCGCGTCAGGCTGCAGTGTGTGCCGCTCTCAAGGCTACGATCCACAGCGTCCAGACTGTAATCTGTGATGACATCATGCAGCAGAGTCGGGGGCTGGTTCAGTGATAAAGCATGATAGGCTTGAAATTCATGGGAGGGTTTCACAAGAATATCTGCTTCTTTTTTCCCGATTATGCTAGCAGGAATTGGTTGGAACCCTCTCTCGTCCTCCTGAAGGAAAAGTCCCATCAGTCACAGCAGCCTGACAGTCTCTCGATACATTTGCACATTAAATGATTTCCATTGAAGTTTCTTTCGGTAGTTTGCTTTCCCCAGACATAGCACAGAGTGTTCTTCTGTAAGCTTTGTACCAGATCAGTAAATACATATAAGGCACAGACAATCACACAGTGTGAATTTAAGTAATGTTACAAATTGCACAAACTCTTCATGAATCCAGTGACTCAGGCATTCAAGGATGATTCAGCGTCCTTGTGATCATGAAGTCATAAAATTACCTAAATGAGACCTAAGGTCTGGGGGCAACGTCCAATCTCTAAAAGGCTTTTTGCTAAAAAGATATGTGAAGAATTTGGGCCCAGTTATGCTCAAAGCATGCCATTCCAGGACCTGTCACCAGCTGAAGAAATGGCATTTACAAAGCAGAACCTGTGACAGAGGACACCAAAAATAAGAAGATATGTGTTTTTCAAAACAACAGAAGTTTGATTCCATTATTACTCTCCACCGGCTTAAGAGTGTTTAAAAAAGAGGCAATGCGCAAACATGCGCCTGTCACAACTTTACGTAAAATGTTAGGAGGCAGAACGCCTCCTTGACTTTGTTTAGATAACAGATATCCACAAACCATTAGTTAATGCTGATACGCCTGTGCCTTTTAAGCTCAGGTTATCTCTCATGCTCTTGGTGTTATGGACTTGGCAATCCGCCTTTCTTCAAATTTATGACGTGAGACAGCTCCTATCTGTTTTGCAACTATTGCATTCTTACTACTCCTCTACTTATGTTCTGTAAACAAACACATGGAATGTTCTGATTAAGCAGACTTGACTCTTCTTTTACAATCCTCCCATAACCAGCTACTCAACACATGTGGGCGCTTGACGTTGAACAATGCCTTAAGGGCATGCCATGTGGGTGCAATAACGGTTCTGTCTAAAACTTCTCGGCTTCACATGAAGCCCCCCCGCAGATATTGCGGGAGCAGGTTTACTCCACGTCTTTATTTTTGTCCCATGCTGATCGACAATGACGTTTTGCAGGAATGAGGAAGTTTGTTTGCCGTGATTGGCCGATGCTGCAGGGGCAGTTTCCCACCAGCCCCTCTGGCCCGGAGCCCCACTGTTGACAGACCTCCACAAAGCCTCCTGACTCAGCAGAATGTGAACAGGCAGACAGGAACATGGGCCAGGTTAGACTCCACTTCATCAACATCTCATACTCTATCTCCCTTCAGATAGACAACACAACCTTGCCTGAGAAGGACAAATGCATTACACCCCCAGAAAATGATTTTTTCTGTACACTATTGGCACATAAAGTCTGTTTTATGAGGTTCTTGTATAAACCCTTGAGCATTTCGTTTTAAATGTATGTTTTACCGCGAACATTGGAATGACTTAATAAAATGTGCATCTCTCTGTACATCTTAAACACATAAGACATCACAAAAGCAATATTCTAATAATATAATACTCTTTGTTGTGTGGTGCTAATGAGGAATGAGGCAGATTCACATTGGACGCATGCAGTCATGATGAAAAATGTGGCATGGTACAGTACTTGACCTTGCTCATTCTCCAACATCAGACAGTATTTTCAAGTGTAGGAACATCTTGTTCTCCACGGTACAAAGGAAACGAGCTAACTGTACACTTTCAACTTGCCTCCATGACGGAAAACTCACAGTCTTCTGTCTGTGTTTGAAAGAATCTGTGGATGAAGACCTAAAGACTACGTGGGCTGGTGTCGCACTAAACAATCACCACATTAGTAATAGAATATTTTGGACTGGCGTCAAATGGCAGAAACATATTGAACCGGTTGCCAGAGAATCTCAAATGCTGACTCTCCTTTGAAGAAAACCTTTGAGATGATAGTACTGAAAATCAAGCAGCACTTGTGTGCTCCATCAGTCATCTCCAAAGTATCAAACCAAACTATTCCGGGTGCATGAATAAAGAAGCTCTCTACCTGTCACAGTGAATGGGGAGGTGCCGCTCTGACGCTGGGAGCAGCAAACACAAAAGGATGTCGGCCTGTATCTGATGGCCTACATGCCATTATCCAGGAAAATAGGACAGCCCACACAGCCTTATACATCTTCATGGGCAATCTTCATGAGACCAGTATTAGCAGGTGCGTGGACACACACAAAAAAACAAAAAAAACTGTGCATATTTGTAGCTACAAACACGCAGCAGAAAACAAGTCAGAGGCAGTTTATCATAGAGGAGGCGGAGGACTGATTAAAGCTAGAGAGAGGGGGAGGGAAGATAAAGTTACCCTTTCATCTTTTCCTTCATACCACTGTTAATACAGTTAATCTGTTTATCTGTTTTTTTTATTTCAGGAAGTGATATGGCTACAACAGGTTGATCCCAATTTCTTACAATAACAGAAGCAGAAGGGTGCCATAAAAACTAATATCTCATGTGATGCTACTCTGCGTATCCATGAGGGCCATAAGAACATAATCATTAGGCTTCAATACACAACAAAAGTAATCCAAATGCAGTTTAAATATACAATCCAACCAGAAACCAGTGGATTTTTATGTCATTAAAAACATAGATGGTCAAATTAATTTTATATAAAAAGACAAAAAAGGCTTAGTAAAGTATTGGGTATGGCAGTTTTTAAATGAACTGGATGGGATGTTCAAATGAATCCCTTGTTCTGAGCATGCACAAGCCTGTAAATGGAGTGGAAAATGCATTCAGGAAGGACACTTATCTGCCTATCCAGAAATGTATAGCAACCAACCATCTATAATAACATGGGCATCAGAATGCACCATAGATTAATCTGCAAGAACAGCAGTCCAATAGGAGGACAACATCATCAATCTGTGACCATTTGCACCTTGAGCTTGTTTTTTTTGCTGAAAAATGGGGAGAAATTTGACAACCCTGTTATTTTTGACTGAGCTGCTTTCCCCATACACAGAGACTGTTATGAGATCAGCTGTCAATCCTGTTAAATCAGTTGCGTGCACATTGCACTAACAATCTTCAAATGTGCCTGTCCTTTTGCATCCAGACAAAGAGGTTCTTTGTAGATGCTTAAGTGTGAAACGTTATGGGATCAAAGAGGAGGAGGGCTGTGTATCCTTACCTTAACAAGAGCACTAAAGTCTAAACAGGAAAAATAAATCAGCGAGCTTCTGAGTGTTCAGATGGTTTGAAAGGTTGAGGCCATGCCTCACATTCAATAATCGCTCAGTGCCAATGTCGCAGCAGACACACAGTTATGAGACAAAAACGTCCATTGTATCTCCTTTTTTCTCCCCTTGTATTGACCTCAGTGGGCAAGTGGCGGCCCCCTGCCGTCAACAAGGAGAAAGTTGGTGTCATGCTCTCATTTTGAGCGCTGGACTGCAGTCAACACGAGCCAGAGACGCAGTGGAGAAAGCGCTGCCGTTGCCGTGGCAACCTCCTTTTCTCATTCATCGTGACTTGATGCTTCTCCAGACCCAGGATGAGGTGGCGAACGAACCTCTGACCAGAAGCTTTGACATAGTCTGCCTGAGGCGGGATCCAGGAGGCCGGTATCGGCCATCGTAGCATGAGCTTTGTGACTTGTGTCGCAGGTTGGGCGATTGGTGGCGGTGATGGGGGTCATTTGAGCCTATAATCTTCTCGAAATCTACCAGAGTGAGATTATTACATCCCACACCGAGGCAATGTCATCACTCAATCTTTGACTCAGTGATCCCTGATGAGGGCCAGAGCGCGGGCAAACAGCAGGCCGACTTAGTTCCCAGTATTCAATCAACGAGCTGATCTGTCACTCACAGCGACAATCCAAGGCTGAGATAAAGGCCTTAGAGCGCAAATCTACTCCCTCTAAAACAGGCCAACCGCTGTGCTAAAAATAGAGAATCCACAGAAAATCTTATTGTGCGAGACAAATATTTTCAGAACACAACTGTGATTGTAAGGAATGAAAAAACTATGGCACCCTAATGCTGATACTGTCAGACAATAACAAAAGATTACAGACGTGTACAATCTAAATCCCAACAAACATCTCTACAAAAGCTGAAGGGCTCATCGTTTGTTGTTAATGAGGGAGCGTTGTGTCATCCCACAAGAATGCATTACATCATAAAACACCTAATACGTTTGTGTTATGCTGGACCCCAAAACCTAATCCACTCTTTGATGGAGTCACTATTATATACTAAAGCTGGCCACTGTTACCTTCATCAGTAAATTTATTGTAAACTCTCTCCTTTTCCTACATTTTAGATCTACAGTGTTAACAGATTAAATGAATTCTAAGAATAATTTACTTTAAATTGACTTTCAGATATGCAATTTCAAACTAATCGTGTTCTAAATTTTGAAGAGAGGGGATATTAGGATGATATTAATCCATTATTATATACACTGCCTTTTAACATTTTTATATTAACTAAGGATTTAATCCTCTATGATTTGCCTAACTCACGCGTTTCTTCATCTTTAAATGTGAGTAAAGTTTTTACAATACCTGTGATGGAAACAACTGACCACCGTATGGATTAATGTGTAGTCCGCAAAACAATTATTTGATTAATATAAAGCACAGTATAAACACGGTATAAACAACAAACAAGTTTACTATTCTTTCATTCTTATAAATTCTAACTTGTCATTCATATCTGACAGAAATACCTCCATTTAAGATTATGTCTTGGCTTGTCCTTAGTCCTTATTTACTCTTTAGTCATACAACTCAAGCAAAACCTAAAAATCTGTGTTTTAAACTGCCCCTGTCCATCATAGAGCTGAAACCACTGTAGTTCTGCACTGTTTCGTGGGCAGACCTTATGTAATTTCTGTCTTAAGAAGCAGCTTTGTTGCTTAGAAATTGGCCAAAAATAAGTAACTGATTACCAGAAAACCTGCTCAAATTACACTGCTCTGTGAACTGGCAGGAAGCTTCAGAAAGAACCATATGCTCCATTTTCTTTTTCTTTTTCTTGATAAGGCTGAATAATCTTTGTTTATACAGACTGGGTGAATTTTTAAACGTTACAAAGTCAACACAGGGTTGTTGCACAGTATTGCACAACGTACTTGAAGATTGCAGTTATTCATTATTATCTGAACACAGTGTCACAGAACGCTTAAAAAAAAAAAAACAGCTTAAAATTCCTCCAGATTCAATTTCTTTCCACAGCCGGTCCCGTAATAAAACCCCCACCGAATATCGTCTCCACAGACTCCCGGAATCCACCGGGGAAAAGTTTACCACCGGTGTACTCTGACCTGTTGGGCCTGACGCATCGTGGTCCACTACATGTTCCACAGACACGCAGACGCGCACACGCTGACCACACTGGCACGCGCGCACGGTCATTGAACAGAAACGTACGCTCCGGTTGATCCAAAAGAGGGATGAATGTACACTTTCAGGGTCAGGGACGGTGGTGTTTAACCCCGCGGTGTGGTGGTGTCGGTTTGAATCGGTGTGTACCTGTGCCTGTGCGCGCTGCTGCGCTCCGCTGCCTCCCTTATGCTGCGCGCCGCTGGGCTTTTCGACGCATCCTACTGCGGACACACGCTGACCGGTCCCCCACAGACAGCCGATCATCTGAGGTAGGCGTCTCGGGGAGGAGAGACCCCGGTCGGGCGCGGCATCGCTGAAGAGGAGGGGGGGGGGGGGTGAGCGTGGAAGTCCTTCCGCAACTGGCGAGCCGCGCACCGAGCTCCGAGTCTGCACCCCGTGCGCTGGGAGCGCGCACACTGCCGAAGCACCGCGACGTGCCCGCGCCTGGGATTGTTGTGTTAGCCTCCGGGGTTCCCGGACCTTTTTTCAAAGTCAAAGGACCCAGATGGGAGCCGGCGTCAGGGTATACGCGAGCAAGCCCAGTTTAGCAGGACGGTGTTCATCACATCGAGGAACCGCAGTTGTTGTGCGGCGTTAGGTAATGCCTGGTACAGAATTACATAACCCCTTCGATGTAGGTGGGTGGCAACAGTGAGAGGAGTGAAAACTGGTCAAATCGCTCATCATACATCATTTGATCGAGTTTGCCCATGGAATGAGAAAAAATGGGAAATTTGTCCTTTCGTTTCAGACAGGTTTCCACAACAGGTCCAAATGTGTCTTAGAGTCCAATTTACTACAATGCAAAGGGCCACCATGAATGGTGTTATAAGAATGTAGCATTGAGAGGTTTAAAACCTTTATTTATGACTATAATGCAAAAACCAGGTCAAAATTGTAGGTAAATGTGTTTTATTTTTGACCCGTAGATCCAGTATGATTGATAAAGCTTCCAAATCCAAAAATGCAGGCATTGCAGAACGACTGCTTCTGCATTACACTTTAATGGCCAGCACGAGGAAACACCTGTGGTTGGGAAAAGGCATCAAGACTCAGATGTCAGTCTAAAAAAAGTGAGTTATTTTGTTTGAGCAACTCAGCCACTAGTCTTCGTTGCCAATTGTTTGGTTGGATTGGCTGTTTTTTTTGCCCTGACAATCAGATTTGGTTGAAATACACAGATGGTCATTCCATGTGGGTCTTCCAGCCCAAAATTGATTTACTGGCTTTCTACAAGGGGGTACACAACAGCTAATAGGGCTTCATTCCTCACAAATCTCCATGCCAATGATGATTATTACTGGGAATTTTTAGATCAAATCTGGAAAAAAAAGCAAAAGTAGCACTGGCTTCCTGTCAGAAAAATTGTCCAAAAAACTCTAGATTAATCAAACAATCAAAAACAAACCTGTCACCCACCAGACAGGAAAACTCTGTACCTGTATTTCACATATATCTCCTGGACAAAGTGTCGAATTTAGAATCTAACAAGGACTAATAGACTGCAATTGACTTTCAATTTAAGATTCTGCTTTCAAATTATGGCCCTAAAATGCTTGAGTGTTTGATGGATAAACTGGATAGCTACTCATTTGTTTGCTGCCCAGCCTGCCAGAGGGAATTTGAACAAAGAACAAAGGTCAGACTTCATCCCTTTCAGGTTATTTGTTTTCCTTATTGCGGTGCAGCTGCCAAACAGTTCACTCCTCAGCGTCTGAACAGAGATGACAAAACAGAGGTCTAAATATTAATCTCTGAAGAACACGATTTCTACTGAGGAGTCACCAATTTCTTGCTCTGTGTAAGGCTGCATTCATGAGATTTAGAATTAATCAAAACGGCAATCATATTTTGTAAAAAGAAAAAAAAGTGTGCAAGACTTTTTTTGCCCCAAATTGTGTCCTAGAATTTTAAATATATATAAAAAAAATCTTCTGACCTGATTAAACATCTCCTATTGCCAGACTACATTTCCTTTCTGCACAGCACCCACACCGTGTGCCGAGTGTGGGAACTGCACCAGCACGCATGCAGTCAGGAAACAAAACCACGGCAAAACGAAAACCTCTTTTGATTTTTTTATTATATCAAAATACAAAAATTTGAGAGGAAAATTTTGTATGGGACTAAGCATTTGAAATGATATGGTGACATGAATACAACACTGCTTTCATATTCTCACAGACATGCCATAGATAGAGCATAGATCATGTGCTAGGCCCATGTCTACGTCATGATGAGCCAACCAGGAGCGAGCCTGTGCATTTTCCCTATGAAGGCTTGTGATGGCGTCTGTTGCTGTACATCCAGGCCAGTTTGGTAAACAGGCCAATGTTTTTACATCATAGTTCATTCAGGTTTCTGCTTACTTAAAGAAAGAAACAAGATCCATGGCAGTTGAACATGAAGGAGTGAGTCAGACATGACTTCAGACGATACAGAATTCACTGAAAAGCAGTGGCAAATGAGATAAAAGTAACACAAATATTATACATAAGGCTTTGGTACAGCACCATACAGTATGAGTTAATTGCTCACAAAAAGGTAAGTGAAGCCTAAATACCTGATGCAGTGACAGAACAGAAAGACAGTTCTAAAAACTGGCAGAAAACAGAAGCATCAGGTTATTGTATTAAAAAGAGAAAAAGAATTTCCGAGATATTTACATATGAACATTATGGGGACATATACAAAAAAAACATATAATACAGAATGTAAACATGTGATGTACAGCACAGAGTTGAGTGGATGAAAATGACATGAAATATGGTGAATTTTCTTCCTTTAAGCACTACTTGGGTTTAATTGAATATGAGCATTAGCTAAAACAGTCAACAATGTAGTGCTTATTGTAGCCTACGACAATTATACATTCTAGTTTCTCAGTGCTGGTACACATGAAAAAACAGAGAATATAGAAAATACTACATACTTCTAGCGTCCGTCCAATAACAACCAGCTCAGATGTCCATGAATGATTGCTAAATAGGCATTTTTGTATTGTCTCTACATGCAAGATTAATACCATAACAAATCAAATCTGTTCTAAGTATCGTCCTACTAGCAACTAGTGATGCACTAAAAGCTGTAAGCAGAAAACAAAACTAAACAAACAAAAACAAAAATGAAAAACTTTGCTAATAGTGCGTCCAAAGCAGCCCTCTTAAACACTGTACATGTTTCTGTTGCAGGTGAGAAAAAAAAAAGAAAAAAAAAAAGCGCCCGGAAGACGGCATCCATTTGAAAAAACCAGAGGAGGATGTATGAGCTTTCCCCAAACCGTTGTACCAGGAGGAGAGATACAATTGTGTACTACCCATGGCTATACTGTACAGTACTAATAGGAATTCTTCCTGGGAAGAGGTGGTGGGATGACGTGAGGTGGTTACGCGCCTGCAGTAGTGTGCTTGAAAAACGGTGCTGTTAACCAAATAACCTACAGGAAGTATGTAGAAAAGATCTTCACGTGACCTGACAATGCTCTCAGATTCTCCCCTGTGTGTCCTGTGGTGAGTAGTACTCTAAGTCAGGGTATGTTTCTCCACTTAGGCTGGGTAAATATTCTCAGTATCATCAACAAATATACTTTAGAGAGGGTACCTTGGAAGCACAAACAGACATTGCAAACACACTATAGAAAACAGGTAATTTTGAGTTCAATTGAATGTCACAAGTCTATTATTTGAGGTTATACGTCTACGTTCCAGTATTGTTTATCACTGTTGTCACACAGTTATGATAAGGACCTATAGTGTCTAACAGAGCTAGTTTGGCTGCTCAACCACACAGGGCTGGAAGAAGTTGCTTGTGGAAACAGAAAAAAAAAAATCTTCAGACCTCTATTCTACAGCACCACAAAGTTAAACATAGCACCAAGTCGTAATGTTCAAAGCAACTATGCCCTAACACACTTTTCTTCATCGAGCTAATGTAAACACAATTTCCTCCACAGCACATTTTGTACATGACTATAGCATGTCCATTACTCTTAGAAAAAAGTTTCCTTCTGTTTATTTGCTTTGGACAAGTGAAGGCGAAGAGATCTTGGAGTGAATCTACATGTGTGCTCATGAACAGGCAAAATACAGTGTTACTTTGTTCCAGAAATATAATAGTGGGCAACACATTTTTGCTTCTAAAGCTTTCCCCAATGGGCATCCACATACTATACATCAGAGAAAATACTACTCAACTTGTGCAGCCAGCGGGCTATGGCAATAATACACTGTACGGTACTAACATTAAGTTTTCTTTTCTTCTCAGATAAAATAATGTCTGCTAAAGTATGACAAATTAGGCACCTTAAAATGTTTTAAAAACATTATCCACTTAAAGCCGTACTGTAAGCAAATACTTTGATATATAATCTAATTTATTTTTACTTGGGATTCTTCCCGTCTTTTCATACATACTCATATGAGAAGGTCTTCCTGTAAAACATGGTTCGAGTTATCTTTACAAATACAATACACACCATGTACAGTACATAACAAATATAGATTTTTTTTCCTCATATCTTACACGAAACCAATTTGTTAAAGTAGAATATGCACTTTGACGCTCACTTTCAGGCAGTCACCTCTTTCTCACCTGTCTAAAGGTTTCATAGTCATTCATGTGGACATTTAGCAGAAAACCTCCGATTTGTTGGTTGGAAATGGGAATCTGTTTGATATGTCTTCGAGTGATTGAACTAGCTTTAGCAACGTAATGAAAAAAGTTATTACAGTAGCCGACGAGAGCAAAAGGGAACGTGGCTCAGAGCTTGAGTGGGATCGCATACTGGAATCTGGACCTAACGTGCCAACTGGTCGTTTCACCAATCCCAGCTGCACCATAAGTAATACAATGGGTCATCATTCAATGCACTGTAACTTGGGACATTCATTTCCTGTACAGCAAAACATACATTCATTATCGGTTAGTGTTGAAAAATTAACAAACGTACAGAGTAGTAGCTAGCAAGTAATATACAATTAAAGATAAACAGTCAGGGTGGCCATTTGTTTCAATGATTCCGATTGCTAGTTACAGTAACAGCTCTCTGAAGCGGTCACATTCTCCTCTAAAAGCTGCTGTTAAACATCAACATCCCCCACTGTACTAGTTTCTATTGGCATGTACAGTGCCTATAATTTATTATTCATATCATTTTCCAATTGACGTTTGTACAAGTATTCTGGTGCTGTCCCGTCACTTGGACTAATGAAGCAGTTACTCATGTTTAAAAAAAAAGCAAAGTAAGACTTAATGCATCCTCTGTAGAATTTTCTCATGCATGTCCTTGGCAGAAAAAGTAAAAATCGCACATAATATTGGGGTCTCTCTCTCCGCTTGAGAGACAAATATGAGAAGGCAAAGGAAAAAGGCAGTTTATGTTACAAAAAAAAACAAAAAAACAACAAAGGCAAATGAAAAAAAGGCCCCTCAAGTTTCACAAATGATTCCTCAATGATGAAATGCATACACACTCTTCACAATTTGTCACGTCGCTCCTCAGTTCATCCTCTGCTGAGCATTAAAGTCCAAAATAAGTTGGAGAGTTCTCATGAAGGCTATGATCTTTGTCTTAATGCTGTGCTGCAATGATGAGTGTAAACACACTGCGCCACCAAGCACAAAAGTCAAGACTCTCTCTTCTAATGGTTGGCATTGGATTACAAACCAAAGTAAACAGATTATGCCACCAATAATAAAAAGCTCCTAAATCAAATAAAGGTAGGCCATATTATCCATTTGAGTGAGTGGTGAGTGATAGAAACCTTTTTATCCATGTGTTTTTCTATGTAAAAAGGTCAAGTACGTACAGTATACCACAAGAATTACAGCAACTCTGCGTGTACTCTGAGGTATATTTTGTGGTAAGAACCCTGTGTTTAAATACTGACACTATTTGTATTGTAGGAAAGGTTTACTCGTGTCCCTGTACAAGGACGCACCAGGCTTAACAGTACGCTGCATCACTGAAATACCTAAAGACATGGACCTCTCAATGACCAGTGTGTGAAAAACCTTTAACGTGTTGTGATGTACTCAACCAACACATTTTATTACTGTAAGAGGAAGCTTAATTCCCTTGTTTTACTATTTATGTACATAATATATTTTCAGAGCATTTTCTGTGTGAGACTCCTCAGCGAGGAGTAGTAGTCGTGAAAACTCAGAGAAGCCATTGTTCTTGTCTTCAGATGAGGTTTAGAGCTCCAGAGGGTTCAGCGCCACGTTCACTGCTCCTCAAACACGGATCGACTTTTAGAGATTATAAGAAACATATTTGTCGTTACTGTGGCGCGGTAGGGGAAAGCCGAGGTGGGGTCAGCCGGGGAAGGGGCCTGTTTTGTGGAGTCCAATGGCTTGATGGGCACCGGGGGGTCAGCGCAGAGTCCCGTAATTTGGGCCCTCAGAGTCAGCACTGGCCAAAATGCCTGTCTGGTCCTCCTCAGACTGCCTACGATGCAGGAGGGAGGTTAAATAGCGGTATGCGTTCTTCTTGTTTTGCTTTTTCCTCTTTTTGTGGGAGTTGAGATCCTCTCCCTCTTGGGGTGTCCGAGATTGCTGCTGGGTCTGAGAGGGAGACACACCTGCAACGGAGGCACAGCAGTAACACACCATATTGAATCTTTAATTATTCATCTTTTGTCCTTCCTTTTCCCCCAATCGTCGGACCAACCTGTTCTCCTTGTGGATGTCGTGTTGTTATTGTTATTGGCAGCCACGCCCTTGGCTTTAGTAATACAGTGGTGTAGCAGTGCTGGTAGGCTCTCAGACCCGGCAGTATCACCTGACGCACCTAGAGGTTCCCTGAGAAGACGAGAGACAGCACAGTACGGTGTCCCGCATTAATCCAGCTGCCGTGTCGGCTCATTTCTCAGACTGAGAAGACAAAAACAGCACTTTCATGGCTATTTCCAGTAGGTGCTATCGTATGATTTGATGAGCTCTTGCACTTCTATAGAGAGCCGTTTCACTAAGATGATGTAATTCCACTTTCTATCCGCTTTGATGGATGGCAAAAGTTAGATCCAAAGAAAGACAAAGAAAGGATGAAAAAGAGAAAGAAAGTGAAAGAAAGAATAGTTGACAGAAGGTGGAGGTGGATTGGGTGGAATTATTATTTTTCTTAAACAATCACGACGTTAAAGACCCAATTCAAGCTATATTAAATGAATTTGCAGAAATGCAGGCAAGTAGTTGTTCTAAAACATTTTTTGCTGATTTTATTTTAGGTATTACAATTGTATCCCTTAAATCAAATGGAAAGTGGAAAGAGAGGAAACCGTTTTCAGGTACATAATAACAGCTGGACTTATTCAGATTTGGGTCTTTAAACTGTGATTGCTTCAGAAATGTTGGCAATATTGATCTCTTTGCTGTATAAAACTCATAAAATGAAAATAATTTCTGGAACTGTAAAGTTATTGTTCCTGTAACAATGAGGATTTATTCCTGATTGTCCTGAAATCCTCCAAAATCACAATTACTGGTAAAGTGTGAGTCGGGGGTCGGCAACCTTCAACATGTGTCACATAATCCGTTAAATGAGGTTAATGATAAAAAAAAGGGATTTGCAGACACTCAGTGAAAGCACACAGTTCCCACTGAGAGGGAAACCAGAGCAGCTGCTCTAACAACTCCAATATCCAAACTTTTTACATCACAAATTGAATATAAACAGAAAATCCTTCAGGCCTTTTACCAATTTCCTTAGAAAAAGTTCACTAACTAAAAAATTAGACTTCCTTTATTCAACTTACTCATTTTTGAGGCAATGGAGCAAACATTTTACTTAAATCGTGCCACGTTCCAGAATAGGTCAAGCTGAGCCTTGAGCACCCTCTGCTGCATCATAAGGAACACTCCCTCAAATGTTCTGACACACCTCAACAGCCAGCAGCCTAAAGCATTTGCATAATGCAAGCTCTGAATATGGGCAGGTTATTGACACTGGAGGTTTTCCAACATCCAAACAGGTTTTTGGGAGACAGCTGGTACTACAGTCCCACTTCACGCCCTGTTCCTTCATTATAATGGAGGAGGAGCTTGTTGCTTTCTGCTGTGCTCACACATTATTCATGCTAATTTGTAACTCTATACAAATTACATGCATGAATTTATAGCTTTCATTTCACACTTCTTTGTAACTTTAATAATAGAATTGATCTGAAAGATATTAAGTCTTGTTTTGATGGACTCCTGAAAAAGATGTCTCTGGGTTAAGATTAATGTCTCACCCTTAAGAGCTGCATTCTAAGTAATGAATCCCTGAAAGCAGATACATGGAATCTACATTTTATTTATTAGCAAACTTTGATTAAATGTATAACAACTCGTAACTCAGGTGTCTTGTGCCTGGGGCTCTGCTGTTATTGTAAACAAAATCCGAGTCGTTTTCATTGTTAAATCAATTCTTGCTTCCACACCGAGTGAAAAAAATTGCCGACCCCCTCAAGCTGGTTCATTCATTCAGCGGTCAGCTGACGGCCCAGTCTGCAAATATGAGCTAAATGTAACAAAAACAGGGACATGTTTCTGAAATCTGAACTATTTTCATTTCATGAGTGATACATGCCACTTTGAATGAAAACAATCAATGTCCTCGGGAAAATAATCATATCACGTTTAAGTATGTTCACTTTCACAGTCTGTTTCATAGGCAGCTTTACCTCACAATGCAAACTCTGGTTTTGTTGTCCATCTCTCATAAAATGATGCAATGAAATAAAATAACCTCATAATCTCATATCACTTAAGCTCGGCTTGGTGAGGCTCAGTGTCGCCTCGGTCACTGAATACAAACGGCCTCAACACCCTGACTTAATGTTCACATTAAGTCAAGCTGTTGTGCCAAACATGAACTGTTTTAAAAAGGCAAAAGAACACAAAGCTTTAGAGATGTCCATCATATGTCACTGTGGAGAGAGAGATTGAGAGCCATTAGCAGAGGGGGGGAGACAAATCTGAGAATTGCAACAATCCTGGACAAATAAAGGATATTTCCATGATCAAATCAACTGTGTGCAGTGGCCACAGTGTGTTAATTGTAGTACATTTCCATAGACAGAAACACTATACAGCACACTTTCAGAAACATGAACACTGCGTACAGAGGCTTCACCATGCTGACGGGAGGAGATGGCAGGAAGAGGAAATGGCCGTTAAAGAACAAGTCACATGACAGGAAGAGGAAATGGCCATTAAAAACAGTCACATGACAGAAAAACGAAAGCACTTAGGACAACGGATGTAACAAAGAATTTAGTTTGAGAATTGTTGTTATTTGTTTGGTCAGAGAGAAGTTTAGAGAATGCATGCATGGCATTTTGCACATGGAACAAAACTTTAAAGGGGAATACTCCAGTCTATCATTCATGTGCGCCCTCTATTGATTCAAGGCTTAATTTCTTTTTCTTTTTTTTTATGCACTGAAACATGTTTGTATTCAAACAATGAAAAAGGCAAAAAATCAAATCTTTCTCCACCATCCAAAACCATTCCTCAAGCTGGCTCACAAGCCTAATTTCTGTGGCCAATGCCACAGCCGGCTGACTATGCCTTAGAACTGTGTTGACAAATGTGTCCTGCAGTCTTTATTACCATTAGTTGTACTTCACTTGAATCCAGCACAGAGGCACAACCCAAAGCGATTCCCCTTTAAAGGAGAGAGTGATTAGAGCCCTCCCCCTGCTGACCCCTCCCCTCTCAGACATGGGTCCGACCCTTACCTATTGTGGCGTAGGGGACCGGGTCACAACAACGCTGCCCAGATAGCTGAGATCAATCAAAAACAAATCAGGTAAGACCCTTACCCTCTATAAAGCAGCAGCCCTAAAAGCTCCTTTGGCTGACAGGGCAGGAACAAGTCTCTGCTCTGTGGATTTAGCTACAATAAGACTGTAGCTTTAGGGTTCTGAGCTGGGTGTCGAGGGCAAAGGAGTGTAGGGATGGAACCTCCTATGTGGTGTCTGAAAATGTAAATGCAGTGAATAATCTAAATGTTGGGCGTAATAGGGAAGAGGTACTCCCTGTTATATAAACTGCCTTATGTTCAGATTTTTTTTCTCCACACGTTTGTAGAAGTTAGTAAATTGTCACAAACTTATTGGGCTTTTAGCTTCAGAGGAAATGTTGTAACACTTAAATGTTGTAATTACTCAAATTTTCACCAAGGTTGAAAATATGGCTAAAAGTTATTGAAGTGCTGTGATTTACAGTTTAAATCAGTTTTACTTTAAAACATTACATATGCTGAACTTAATAAAAGACCACTAAGACTCCTCCAGTTATATTTGGTTCAAACTTTTTTTTTAATTAAATGAAATGAATTTTGGTTTAATCTGGCCCAGATGCCCGGCCATTTTCTGGTTTAAAAACTTTATAAAACAGCTTAAAGAATGTTCAAGCATAAGGTACCGATCACCTAGTTTAAGCTCATAAATTTCTTAAAGGGTTGACTGAAAACATTATACATCTTTGCACGAGTGTAAGTCTAATTTTGCCTCACTCAGATTGTTTTTTTATAATCAAACTTACATAAATCATTTTTATTCAGCTTTGGTACATTTATCAATCAAATGTTACCGGCAGACGGAATAAAGTTTTCATTTGAAAAACACTAAACCTGATAACTTCTGTTGGCAGTAAGTTAGTAAAAACTTTACTGGTATTTGCACTATAATTAGTAGTTTGAGATTAACTGTTTATTTTCAAACAATACACACAAATTCACTGACCAAAAATCCAGAGTGAACTCTCACATGAACTGGCACATCGTGTGCTAAATGCAATTACATGCCTTCTGCATATTAAATATGCATCTTATTCCTAAATGGAAACATCAAGATAAAAGTGTGGGTAACTATTGTGGCAATTTTTGAAAAAAAAAAAAAAAAAAAACAGAGATAGGGAGACAAGTCTCCTCCTTTTACAAAATATTAAGACTATTCTCTACTGGAATGGATCACCTACCCTGAGGCTGATATCTGGAGCTGGGAGGGCTCTGAGGGTAGCATCTCCTCCTCTGTCCTTCTCTGGGATGGCCTCTGCCCGAAAACATCCCTGCCCTCTGGAGGGGGAGAGGGGGACTGGGAGGGGTAACTGGCTGCGGTGGAGGCGTAGGACATGTGGGCGTGATAACTGGGGCTGGGCTGCTTGGCGCCCTGGCTCTGAATGGGGGAGGCGGTCAGAGAGGACCTCCGGGAGAAACTGACCGTGGCGGAGGGCTGCAGGGTGAGCTCGGGCATCTCCAGAGACCGGGAGGTGCGGAGGATGCTGGGGCGGGGCGGGGGCCGCACCAGGATATCTGGCGAACCCGGCTGGGTGCTGAGCGGGCTCTGGGAGAGCGGGGAGAGACGGGAAGGCTGGAGGACCAGCGGGGGTAGGCTGGGGTCTGCCCGGCGCCCTGCCCTCGGACTGAGCCAGGACTGAGGGCTACTACTGGGGGCTGTGCTTGGGCTCCCTGCGCGGGCTGCCGGGTCAGGGTAAGGCAACACTGGTACGCCCACACCGTGGGCCGTGTGTCTGAGCTGGCCGAGACTCTGGGCCTGTTGCATAGCTAAACGCCTAACCGGGGGCCCCGGGGGCCGGTCTCTGCCGGGGGGAGCCACCGGCACCTCCAGCTGCAGGAGCCCGGGACTGGACGGATCCTTCAGCGGAGGGAGGTGCAAGCGACTAGAGGGGTGAGAGTGAGGAGGGTACGGGGGTGGGTCGGGGAGGTCCTGGGGGTGATGTAAGGGATGGTGGGGCGGGTATATGAACCGTGGGCCCTCTAGACCGAGAAAGGGTAACTCGTGAGGCTGCCAGCTTTCGGGCGAGCGGGGGGGAGGGCTGTGTGTGTGAGACAGAGAGTGACCGGAGGCAGTGTAATGATGGTGCTCCATCTCTCCACTCTCCTCGGGGATGGAGGGGTAGCCAAAGGGCCCCTCGGCGGTGCCCGGCGGGGAGGACAGAGCGGAGCTACGCGGGCTGATGTCAGGCATGTAGAATGGTGGCGGAATCCCTGATTCACCGCGGCTGCCTAGATACCCATAGAACGGGCCCTGGGGAAAGCCCCTGTAGCGGGAGGTGGGCGCCTGCCCCGAGGCGTGGAGTGCACTGCCCTCTGCAAAGCTCATACCTTCCATGGGCCTGTGGAGGCGGGGGCTGTAGGTGGGGGGCTGCGTTGACTCCAGGCTGGAGGACGTTGGGGACAGCTGGGGCCGCAGCGTGGGCATGATGGGCGGCAAAGGCCCGGGGTCAAAATCATTCTCCTCGTCAGACTGCCGGAACTCAGGGTACATGTCAGACTCCTCTGCGAAGGGGAAGCCCTGGATACGGCGAGGAAGCGGGCTGGTCTCCATGACGAAGCGGCCATCGGGGCCACGGCTTATTAGCTCTATAGGCGTGGTGACCTCCGCCTCGTGTTTGGACACGCTGTATTTCTTGCTGGCTATGGCACGCTTGGTTTTCTTGTAGAAAGAGAGCTCTTTGTCTTTTTCTCTTTGAGGACTGGGCAGCTTTCTGACATACAGGCCTGGACCATGGGAACCCTCCGATGAGAGAGAACGTGGACGAGATGGAGGGGAGCTCTCTGGACTTATCTTGCCAGATGATAACCTGGAGAAATTGCAAACACAACATCCTGGCTCAATATGATGCAAATCAGCTGGAACCCAAAGGGAAAGTGGACTGCGAAATGAAAAGACAAAACAAGCAAACAAAGACATCTTTGATGCTGAAAACAGAAAAAGGGATGGTAGCGGTTTTTAGACAGAGAACACAAAACAAAGCCAAAGCACTTGATCGAAGCAGCCACGAAGTACTAAGCTATGATGATGTTCACTTTAAGGGCACAACAGCACTTGTATAGGGAATCAAGCTAATGAACCAAGCCACTGCAATGGAATGAGAGGATAAAATACAGCACAATCACGACAATCACAAATCTATGACATCTACATCTTGAGCAGACATGAGACTAATTTCTATATGCTGCACCAAATGGTGAAGGGAGGAAAGCAGATGATGTCTAACCAGGCCTCATTTGCCCACACCAGGAGCAGCATACTCGAGACTTACGGCACTGGGTCACTGAATGCATCAGAGAGAGGTACAATTAAGCTTAAAATGTACTATACCCCATGCCACAGATCTGGTTTATAAGAAATTTCAATTTAACTGAATACTTATTTATAGACTGGAAATGGGATAAAGGAATAACTGTAAGATATTAAGTTAAAATGTAATTTTTTTTCTTGTTTTTTCTTATTACAAAACTTGGCATTTCCAGGATTATTCATACCCTTTATGACAAATAAACAGCAAAGCCTATATTTGCCATTTCATTAAGAAATATGGCTAGTTTTTTAATGTTACCAGTCCCCTCCTTCCAGGCAGGAGGACTTCCTTGCCACTCTGGTCTTTGGTTCTCATTACAAAGTGACCTTTTCTGGTGCACATCTACACTAAGATTTCTTCTTGATCTTGGGTAGTGTCTGTCTTGGGATGTTGGTACATCCCTTGGTATTTGCATCCTAAAATAATCTCTTATAACGCACTGGACCTCGCTACTGTACATCAATCTCAAAAGAATATAGGGCAATGAAATTGTCTTACGAATCATCATCAACCATGTGGAGTGCTCAAGACAGAGTCCAAGTCCTCCTCTGGGACAGTGTCTCTGGAGGAACTTAAGCATCTACGTGGGGGCACCTTTAACATGTCCTTTGTAGTTTATTTATCTATCCCAACCTGATGAAACCTACTGTTAAATACATTTTTAAGATAAAAAAAATGTCAAAATCCCTATGGTCTTCTGGGTATGAATAATTTTGGGCCTTACTGTAAATCATAATGAGTGCATATACATAGTACTGTATTGCACATGCAACAGAGCTAATGCATTGGACTGCTGGGACAGCATGTAGGAGTTTGTGCATGCAAATATACCAGAAATAGCCCCCACTACAGCTCAGAGTAATTTGTCAAATATTCTATGCGATGTATTAACCATGCAGCCAAGCCAGTGCAGTGCAGCACACTCTGGGTTTTGGTGCAGGCAGGCACTCACAGGGGGCTGGCCGGCGGGGGCAAGAAACTGCTCCTGGCAGGCTCCTCCCAGCAGGGCTCTACCCCTGGCAAGGGGGTGAGAGGAGGCCTGCGATGGGACACAAACGACATGGGCCTGGTTCATCACTAACTATGCTACTGGCAGAAAAGAGTTAAAACTCCCTGACCTGCCTGGACCACTCGAAAAAAAGACAGACAAAAGTGATCTGACACTGATGATTTACATGATTACCCTACGTTTACAAGCATTTCACTCTGAATGGATTTACACACATTGCCAGAAATGAGCTTCTTTCGAGATTGAAATGCAGTCATTCGTGTACACGGGAGTAACAGACAAATACACACACAGAGCTGATACTGTACGAAAAAATAACACCATTAAACACTGAGAATCATGCAGGAAGCAGACAGCGACTGGAGTTAGAATACAGATGGATCAAAAATCGATATATACATATGTACACAGCAGCTGGGAATCTCTGGATAATGTGCTTAAAATGCTGACTTGGCTGCTTTGAACTCGGCTTAGTCTGCCCATGGTCAGCCAGAGGTGCCCCTGTACATGTTCTTAAACACCTTCCAAGAAGCATGATAGAGGATTTTTTTAAAGAAACAACGTGAGTCCTATCAGTTTACCTGGGGAAAGCGGACTGTTTGTGATGATCACAGCATGTAACTGAACTAAAACCAAGCTTTGGTAAAAGGTGTATGAGAAGATGAACAGTAGCAGCGTCCTCTGGCAGACTGAAAGGGCTCTGGGTCGTTTTTACTTACGGCGACTCAATGCTTTTCCTGAAGTGTGTCACCGACAAAGGAGGATCTGAGAGGACAAACATACCTAAATTTAGCACTTCCTTTGCTTAACGACATAAATAGACTTCAGACATTTGCAAGTATTCTGCAAAAAATGGGCATGGACAAGAAGATGCCACCCTACCAGCACCAAAGAAGAGAACTACCTACAAACAATTCAGTACACCTTGGGGTGGTTTTGTATCCAAATAAAAGCCCATCATTTGGACATTGAAATTCAGTGCAGAGGGATGCCAACCTGGTCTACGCTTGAGTTTTCGTCGGTTTTGCTTATTAACAAAGCAAGCTGCTAGAGTGCTGAACAGTACTGCTGCCGCCAGAAAGCAGATAGTCGCCACAACACCTGCCACCACAGGCCGCGCCAGCCCCTCCTCAGGTAACTCTGGAGCAGGGAAGGGGTCTGCTGAGGCAGGTGAGGACATAAAAAACGATTTTAGAAACACAAAAGCTATCAAATCCATTGTACTTTGGAAAAGTCCTGAGCCACCCCTCCTTCCTGTATACGACAATTCACACAATTCTTTCAGAACATAGGAAAAAAACAGACACTACTTTTTTCAAGTTGCTTAATCATCTTTGGGAATCACCTTGTAGTAGGAAAAATTCTTCCTTTAAAAATGGTCATGTCCAAGGAACGAACTAACAATTAGCACAAAAAAAAGCAGCCTACATCCAAAGAAAAACCTTGAAAAACTTCCATGAAAAGCCTGGAGTACTACTGAACAACACTAATAGATTAAAATAAAAATGGCTTCTGGGACGCAAACTAAAAGGAAGTGTGACTCAAGACTTTTGCACATGACTGAAGGGGTGAAGTATCTCTGTGTACACACACTCACCTGTACTGGACACTCCCACTACATTGCTGCTCTCACTAATCAGATCATCCATGACCGCCATAACTCGAAACTCATACCAAGAGTCCTGTCAGAGTGATGCACCAAATACATTTGTGTTCATCTCATTTGCTGTATTTTTTCCCCACTGCACAACAGAATCAAGACACTTTGAGATTGAGACACTTTTGGACAATAAAATGGGATAATTGAAAGCATGCAGGAATTCTTTTATACCTGAAACAGAACTGTTAGAACAAAAATCTGGACTTCTTTACGGTATGTTTTGCTCCAAAAAACCAATCTTGTCAACAAAACCTATTTTCTATTTTCCTGTCTTCTATGTCCTAAACATTTCCCAACTTTTCTTTTAAAAAATAACGTAAAAAGCCAATGGGAACAGGACTGTATTCAATAGTTTGTCTCTGACTGACCTGAATAAGGTCTCTTGCTATGAGCTCAGTCTCAGTGGATGGGATCAAGTCATCCAGAACCTCCCACTTCTCCCCGAGGCGGAACTCCATGATATATCGGTCAATGGGTGAAGAGTGGTTGGCCGGAGGGAGCCATGTGAGGAGGACACCGTGCTGCGTGCGATTGGCTGTGAGGCACCGTGGTGGAGTAAGAAGCACCAGTGGTTCTGGGGTACCCAGAGGAGAGCCTGCAGATCAGAATTTCAGTTCAAGCTTTTAGATAAAACAAACGCATTCAAACAAAACAGACAAACAAAGACGCCATCCCGCTGACAGCTCTGTGAAGCCGAATCAGACTGGCAAACGCATTTTCAATCTGAGAGAAATCTTATCGGTGACCTGAAAAAAAGGACGCAATTTCTCTTGATATGATGAATAAAAATCATCTGATCCTTTCCAAGTCTTTAAATGACGTAAGTATAACCTAAGGAGAATAGCAGTACATGTGATGTCTAAGTATGGATAAATGAATGCAGAAGTAGTGTGAGAAACACATTACATAATTCAGATGTTTGCAGAATCTCCCTCCACTGAAATAATTTTAAATAGCTCTCAGGTTTGTTGCAGTTTTTCAACCATCAACCGTCAACTGGACCACCAACTTTTGGGAAGAAATTTGTCAGAGGCTTTAAAACTCTTTTACGATGTTATGAATTGTAAAAATTTTGAATTTAAAAACAGTATTCTTACTTTACGAAAAAAAAATCCTGTCAGTGCCACTATAATAATAAAAAGTAATTGAAATATTCTGAAAGGACAGCATGAAGCTCTGTTGAAAGTTCAGCACCAATCATTAAGAGTTATTTCTGAGGTTTTACAGAAAATCTGAGTCAGAGGTCCACCACAGTTATATTGATTGAATGAAAGCTCACTGTGAACCATCAAAGTGAGCACGTGAGATGCATGTGCTGCAGTCACGTACACAATAAAAATACTTGTTTGCGGTTCGTTTTCACACAAAAAAGACCGGAAATCTGTTGCGAATCGCTATTCCCAATGGTTGAAATTACATGAAAATCGAATAAGAAAAGCAACCCGAAAAGCACCTACGGAATAACGGAGCAGAAAAAATCTCAATGTTCTTCGACGTGCACTAACAGGATGGCATGTGAGCGTGTGAAGTAGGTCAGAACTTTTCAAGCCTCATTTAACATTTGTTGAATGAAGAAGAGCTTCTTTGTTGGCATGGGTTACAGTATCTGCATTTACACAGCACGAGCACAAAGACATTACAGCAACACTGTTCTGTTTTCTTAAATCACAACTCTCAGGTTGTTTTTTCAGCTTCCACACAAAGAAGAACTTATTTGGTATAGTATTGGAATAGTAATGATTTTTTTTGTTCAGAGAAAAGAAGAGAACATTTTGAATTAAACAATGCAAAGAGCAACAGTGCTTTCATGCTCTTTGTAACTGCACTAAAACTTAAATAAGTATCCTTTAAACGTAATTGATGCACTACACACCATGCTCTTTCTTCCATGTTATTTTCTAGCTTAGATATAATATATGCTGCACACCTTTTATTCTGTTTGTATTTGAGAGGTGGAAAACAGACCTCTCTTCTCAGACATATGTTGTATTGTCAAATAGATGGAACTTAAAATAGAAATGACAGCTCTGGTGTTGAGCTGATTACCACACATGAAAGGAACGGTGTTATTATTAATGTCATTAGTTATGCCGGTGTCTTGCTGTGACCAGTTCAAATGTTTGCAATGAGGATTTTCTATTATGTTGCTCACAGTGGTTAAACAGCTTAAAGACTGTGAGCTGCAGATGTCCTGTTCATGTTTACGGCTACATTTTTGCACAAAACACAGTTCGGCTATGAAGGGAAAGCTGTTGGCATATACTGTACATCATTTGCTCACATCTCAGGACACATGAATAACCCTGACACTGGCACCGGTCCTATGGTGGGACGTGTGAGGCAAAATGTGAACAGTCAGCAAAAGTTTAAAGCCCTGTGTGACTTTGACATTGCTGTAGTCTTACAGCTGTGTGATGTACTGCAAAAAAAACAAAAAGAGAAAAAAGCTGGCCCTTGTGGTCTGGTCCAATGGCAGAGCTGAAGTGGTCAAATAGTTGAACAGCTAATTTCTGGCTACAAATAAAAGGTGTCATAACACAGTTAATTATATCCTGATAAGAAGTTTGTTTATGTGTTGACATGGAGATAAAAACTGGGCATTGGGGCTAAATAGGAAAGTACAATCTCCTTTATTAGTACGCGTATCTTTGGATTCAAGAAGATATGGGAACAGCATGAATAGCAGAGGAATAAACAGCATGTTTTAGACAGCAAACCCTGACCTCATACATAACATCTCCCTATACACTCCTGCAAAATCCCGATATCGCACCGATTCACAGCAACATTACCAATAGCTTTTCACCTTGAAAACAACAGTAAACAAGAGTAAATGTGTTGACTTTATCAGATTACTCTGTAATAGGTGGGATGACCGAGGAGAAGATGTATGATATCCCTGGGGGCCACACCTCTATTTTCTAGGACTTAAAGGCTCTGCTAATCTTTTCAAGTTCCACAGATATCACAGCATGCCTGCGAGTGTCTTGTGGAGTTCATACCTCAGTCATTAAAAGCAGTTTTTAGAAGAACAGATACAGTATTAGACAGGTGGTTCTAATGTTCTGGCTAATAGGTGTGCAAGGAGAATTGACACAAAGGTGGAAAGTTATGATCTACAAATCTATAATCGGCTACAATGCACCATTTGTGTCCATACAAATGATTCTGTACAACTGTAATATTTCAATCTCTGCATATTCACTTAAAATTACATTCAAATTTAGTTAATTAATCATATTGAAATTAGTCTGATGTCCATTTCTACAATAACACTAAAATATAGATTAAGGACATAATTCATAGTAAAATAAAGTCTTAACTCTGGTTTCCCTTGTATTTGTCAATGCGAATTATTAAATACTGCATTTTTCTATCCTAAAAACTGTCTGGAAAAAAATCCCTTTAAGGCTCCATCTTGCTCAATAACTTTTAGAAAAATAATAAGGCAAACTGAGTGCAGCCTAAGAGGTAAAACGGGGCTTAAAAAGAACTCTGTTTAGTCACTGTGAATGCATTTACTCTTTATTCTGTAGTGGTAATTAAAAGTGACTAAGAAGAGAAAACAAATGTAACTTACATCCTCTCTGAGTCCGAACAATGTCAGATATTTAGTAAAATGATCAAACTTAAACCATAAAACCAAGGGCCCCCTCCCCATTACCACCTAAAGTTACACATCTGCATACATTTATTTAAATCTCACCAGAGGGCAGTAGAGTGTCTAACATGACTATGTTCTTAAAAAAAATAAAACAGCACATAAGTGCTGCTCGGCAAGTTGATGCTAATGGCAGGACGCAGTGATGTTGGATGGAACAACTTATAAAAAGCAGCACCAACCTGCAGTGGTGACTGTCACAACTTCACTGAATGGGCCCGTGCCCAGTTTGTTTTGCGCCAGCACACTGAACTGGTACTCCGTCCCAGGCTCCAATCCCGGCACCACCAACCAGATCTGAGCACCAGAAACTGGCAAGGAATCCCAGTCATGAGGACCGGCGTCTACTCTCTTTGACCTGAGAATGAAAAATGTGACATTGGCCATAATTTTAAACAGTGAGACTATAAACGCTGATGATATTTCATTCCACCCTTGTGTTATATTTAACACAGTCTTCATATTATAGTTTATTTTTCAAGTCAAACTTTTCTAAACTAACATTGTTTTTGTTTTTTACTTGGTATGCACTTAACTGTCAGGCATTAGGAAGATAACCCAACTCAAAAAAGATAACCCCACTCTTTTTATCTATATATTTTCCATCCTTTTTTTTTTAAATAAGCCAGTTTTTGGTTGTGAACTGTATTTAGTCTGCCATCATCTCTTATTGAAGAAATGACAAGTTTTAAGTCACATCTTTAGGGATTAAGATCCATATCATGTCTTTGTCTTAATCTTTTCTCTTTTACAAACAACAAAAGTCGATCTGGTGCTACTAAGACAAAATAAGTCCTCATGCACATTCAAAAGTGAAAAGATACGCAATTCTAACCAAAGATGTTTGATGTTGAGTGGCATGTTTCCTTCTATTAGATCCCCTAAATGATCCATGAATAATACAAAAGCACATAATATCTAAATATTCTGAGAAAACAACTGTCAAAAACAATTCAGCTGCAGGCTTTTGATTGAAATCCATTTTTATCCCCTTCGATACAGACAAGCCTCGACTGACTGTCAAAACTCTACTGGTAACTTCACAGTACGTTAACATATCTGCAAGCAGCAGTCATTGATTTGAAGTAGACAAAAAGCACTCACACTGAACCGTACCACACTGAGAACGTCTGTTCGAAGCCGCCATCGTAACCTGGTTCCCAGGAAACATTAGCAGAGGTTGTTGAGGGCAATATATGGATATTGCCAGGAGCGTGTGGGCTGGTGCCTAAGCAGTTCATAGAGACAGACACAGAGAGGGAATGAATCAATAATGCATAAGGCAGTTTATTTCCAAATAGTTCCCTATTTACACCTGTGCATTTATCCTGTTATAGAAATATGTCTTTTTTTCGTCTTTTTTTTTTTTTACATTGTACTTTCTAACGATAACAGATCGAATGATGAGAATTTGGTTGCAGTTTGCATCGCTGAGCCGCATCGTGTGTGCTTGGCTCTTGTTGGACAACGGGATGTTAGCCGAGGCCACCACCAGCGCGAGGTCAAGTTCACCCCGCCCGCCTAACAGCTGGCCGGCGCGGCTCCGGGCCAGCGTCTTCTCACTGGGATTAAGGAGAGACCTGAGCGCGGTCAGAGGAGGACAGCTGTCCGCAGCAGCCCGTGTCAGCTGACAGCTGGTCACACGCAGCCTGGCCGCCAGCTGGGCCGCCGGCTAAGAAGTCCAGAAGCACCAGACAAGGAACAAGTCCTACTGACCTGCTCACTTCTGCATCGCTTTAAGAGATAGCGCTTGTAGATTTTGGTGTTCTGGCATTCCTTTCTTTTTCTGTATATTAATATTTTTTTCATAGGGTTTTTTCAAGAATTTTACATGCTGTAAACACGTGACAGCTCTGTGTATCATCACAAACTTTCCTGATAAGAAACCCAAGCTAAACACTATTCAGAGTGAGGTCAACAGAGGAGCAAATGTTCTACTCCCTGAATCAATCCGAACTCCTGGGTCACTGAGTTACTCACTTGCAAACACCTTTTAATTTGCTGTTAAGGGTAAAGTGGAGATCGAGCAGTTAATCTAATATGTGATGATCAATTGAAATTATCGATAAAACCTATGTGGTTGAAGCTAACAATGTAATCACTTTAAACTCTGTCTGTCTGCCTTATGAACTCATAATTCATAAAGTCAGAACGATTTCTGTTGCATCTTGCCCATGTAAAAAAAAGTAGCCTTGTTAGACTAAGTTTATCACCACGCTGCCCATATAATTGAATACAGAAAGCAAAATCCAGCCCATTTCAAAAACAGCAAGGTTCAATCTGAATTATTGTCAGCTTGAATTTTCATTGGACTCACATAAAAACTGCATAATGAAATAATAGTAATAATAATAATAGTAATAACAGGATAAATGATTATCATAACTACGTCAACAGTTTTAAAAAATAAAAAAAGATATTAAAAAATGTTTATTCTCATCTCATCCATGCCTCTTATATTTAGTTCTCCCTGAATGCCAAAAGGTCTTCGTCTTTGAGCAAGAGGACAAAAAGGTAACCGGTACAACTCAAGGGGTTACTACTCATACACATGAAAAAATACAACACTACAGGTTAAACTGCAAGAAAATATGAAAAAATCTGCACTAGAGGAATGCAAATTTAAAAAGGACTAAAGAACATTATCATTACGATGAGTACTTTTGAATAACATGACGTTTGCGTTCAGGCGTGTACACCTTTAGAAGCCGGCGCACTTCTTTAAACACTTCGGCCAAATGACACGACATACAAAAGCCGAAAGGACAGTGTTCCGGTAGTAGAGTAGATATCGTGGACTGTTTAAAGCTTTCACTGATAACGCCAAATTAGATATTCATGACACCCAAGAGGGAGTTGGGTGAAGGCAAGGAGTTATAAGGATTAGGGGCACTTCAGGTTCATGCAAATCACTTCAACCCCAAAACAAATCGGGATCACAGTGAACTGAAAAACAACTAGAGAAAGGTCAGGATTTTTAAAGCAAGTTGAGAGCGCTGTGCAGGTGGTTTGTACCGATGACTAGGATACGCGTGCTGGCAGTGATGCTTGTGACCACATTGGTGGCTACACACTCCCACTCTCCATGGTCCTCCTTGCTGAGGGACAGAAACTGTAAGCTGCCACTGGGTAGGATGTTGTGCTTACTCCTGCTTGGCTTCCCCACCTTCAACGGACATGAAAATTACAGCACCATGGTTAAGCAGAGGGTGAGCACATGTCAAAGAGCATGATTGGTAATGAGGTAAAGAGGTAGCTTGAACACAACATATATTCTTAAATCAGATCTACAACACCTTTCTCCAGGTGATTGTTGGTATATCAGGGTCTCCAGAAGCAGCACAGGGGATTACTAGCTCTCTCCCAGCCTCCTGACGGTACTCCCCCCCAGGCCTCACATTAAAGTAAGGGGGATCCTTGATAAACACACACACAAGCACACGTCGTGCAGAAGGAGTATGAACATGCAAACACACATATGAGCGCAGAGCCCGGGCAGGGATATACCTTTAGCACCAAAGTGGCAGGGGGGGACATGCCCATGGTACCCAGGGCGTTGTAAGGCACACAGGTGTAGGTGCCCAGGGAGTCTTCTGTGGCCTCTGCCACCCGGATACTTCCATCTGGCATCAGGCTCCAACCGGGATACTACAAGGGGGTTACAAGGGGGGCGACTGAAATGCTTAACATCTGGGGTTTTTACCGGACCATCAGTGACCCATAGAAATGTTTTCGAACAGCGCGAAGAAGCGCCGTTAAAGACTGACCCTCTCCACTCTGAGCGGATAGCCGTCTTTCTCCCACTTCACTGATGCGACGGGTGGGTTGGCGTCCACTGGGCAGCGGATGATGCCTGGCAGTTTCCGAGGGACGTAGATGACCGGGGGCATGTTGATCACTCGAGCAGGGTCTGAGCAAATAAATGGGAAAAGAATAAAAACCACTTGCTAATTATTTGACACGTGTCACAGAAGGTGCAAAATTCAACGTGCGAAATATTATTGTTTTGTCACTTTGTCAACTCGTCTTTTCAGGTGCATTGTAGGGGTGTCCTGACACATGGGCAGTATCCTGGACATGGGAATCAGAGAGATATTATTGAAGCGTTCCGAAGGAATGAGCTTATTTTTCTTGCTGTTTTAGGTCAATCTCACATTTGTGTGACGAACATAATGAACATTAGACATTTATGAACACAATAATCAACATTTTCATCCCATGATAACACACCAGGCTGCAAGTGTAGCTCAGGGAGAACAGCAATTACAACTGGAATGTTCCGGTTTGATCACTGGTTTTGCATTCCATATGTTAAAGTGTCTTTGTGTCTGTCAGAGTAACAATGTGTGTGATAGAGAAAATAGTAGAAAATAGAGAGATAGTGAAATAGAAAAAGTAACAAACAATACTGCAAAGACTCACAATGCTGTATTGGAGTGTGTGTAATGGGATAAAATACGCTTATAGCAAAGAACTCCTTTGAGCGGTTACCATGACTATATAAATACATTTACAATTGATGCCTTATTCACATTAAGTACAATATCTCTAATTGACTGGATTAAAATAGAACGTCCCTACGTCATTATTTCTTCCATCTAATAAATATCAGAGCAATTTTAATTTTTTGATGGAAACTGTTCTATTTTTATGCTGCACGCTCAAGAACGGGTGTCATGAAGTCATTTCTTTCTTACATGCAGTGAACATGAAAGGACCGCTGAAAGGGGAATCATCGCAAGAGGAGATTAGGTAACAGCCAGAAGGAGTTTTCAGCCTGCGTGTGCCTGAGATGGTGCAGCTTTTCATCTGGAATTTATTGTTTTTTTTCAACGTCTTATCATGAATTCTAGTAAACAGTTTAGATTTTGCTATCAAAAAATATTGCATTCGATGGCAATCTCCACGTTTCAACTCTGAATGTGCCTTTCGAGTGGAGTATTTTGCTTAAGTGAAGTGTAGGATGACGGTCCAAAAGTCCTCTGAGGAGTTTTACTCTTTCTGGAGAGTAAAAATAAGCCTGTGGTAATCTTTTTTATATAGCATTCAAGGGGACTGCTTTCTCGACGGTCTGTTGTTCGGTAGGCCGCTGAAGCCTGCAGGACTGTGAAATCCTGTGCTCTCCCTCATACTGTAGCACAATAATCAATGACCGGCAGCAACTTGGGAGTAAATTAGCTCTACGCAGCAGGAAAGTCTGAGCATCAAACGTCATTTGCTGGGGCATGCTGCTCATCAGTGGCAGCTTATGCAGGGGAATTAGACTATTTTAAACAGGAGGACCAGATTTAGACGAAACCAGAAAAAAGAAAAAAATCTCCAGCTTTGTGTGAGGGAAAGGGTTCAAATCTTGAGACATCGAGAGGATGTTCTAACCTTATAATCTTCTTATCATGTTTATATTGTATATACTTGACATTTTCTCTTCACACTTTTCCTATTTCGCTCAGTTTTTGGTGCCTCTGATCCCGTTCTACTACGTATAACGACAATAAAGGCATTCTGATTCTGATTCTGATGTTAGAGCTCGATCAGAAGCAGCTAAAGGGAGGGTTACGCTGCCTCTTTGTGATGCCCGGCCTTCAAATTACAGAAGCTTTGAGCAGCGTCGCTGCCAAAAACTACAGCGGCAGTCTCCACACTGCTGCTGCTGCTGCTGTTCCCTTTTTCTCTGGCAGCTCGCTGTACCTTCTCCCCGCCCCTCCCCCTCCACTTTGTTGCCACAGTAACACTCACACTGAACAGTCAGGTAGGCTGACGCTGAGGGCGAGATGCCGAGGCTGTTGCTCGGACTGCAGGTGTACTTCCCGGCATCCTCTGGCTTGACCCGGAGGATGATGAGGGTGCCGTCGATGAGGATGCGGACTCGGAGCTTCAGATCACTGCGAGGAGACACAAACGCTTTTATTCCACCACCGACAGGACAGGGCGCACATCCGTCGCCTCTCTTTTCTCCTTCGAGCTGAATTGCATCGGGATGCCATAAGAGAGCAGCAGAGAGCCAAAAAGCAGCGAACAGAAAAAAGATCCAGGGGGCACAGAGTACAGAGCAAGAGATTCAAATAAATCCCCTCACTGCCAAATGCAAACTGCACCGCCGACTGCCGTCAAGTGTTTCTGCTTTACAACAATTACTACATGACACAACAGCCCAATAAGAGCACATATTCCACTCCATGTTGTCGTCCAACACAGTCAACATTCATAAACCGCACAGAAATTGAAGAGTCGCTGCCTTTTTGAAGGTTTATCTGTAATCATGGTGACAACAACATGCATTCATTACTACTTAATTAATCATTTGAAGATCTGAGCATGCTGTGGGTTGTTGAGCTTTTTGACTGTGAGTGACTTGACCATATCAGTGTTTTTGGAAAAGTCTTGCAGTGAAATGGTCATTGTTCAAGAGCTGTTTATCATATTCTCCCTTATGCCTGTCATTTCCGGCCATCCTGATCTTTGAGTTTTGTTACAAACATTTTACTGTTGATACTTGTTGAATACAACTGCATTTTTGCAGTTGTATTCAACTTCATTGTTAGAAATTATTTTATGATTTTATGAACCTTGATTGGTCCCCAAACATGTGATGGTGGTATAGGGATGTCGTAATGCAAAAAAAATTCAATGTAAGTTTTTATTTTCAACTGAAACTAGCATGTCTATTTGTGAAAGGAAGCCGGAGCACCTGTAGAGAAATCACGAATACATGTTGAGAAAATCCAAATTCCACACAGAAATGCCCCCCCCAACAAGCAACTCTCACCACCCTGCAGCCCCAACACAACCATATAAGGGGGAGAGATTCCTCTCATTAAGGATTAAACTGAGTCTAAGTTTGAGGGGGAAATCATTTCACTTTAAAACACAAGTACAACAAGGCAACGCAGGAAAAACTCTCCTTTAATTGGTAACTTCTGTTCTGAGTCACGCAATAATCTGTTTTGCTCTTAGAGGTGCTTTGCTGTACGTTGTCAAGAGTTAGTCAGTTAGAGTACCTAGAGTTGTATAAGCAGACTGGTGGATGACTAATTGTGGAGTAAACATTACATTTACCCATCTATGAATCGCTCCTGATACAACGAAAGCCGTCAAAACTGAGTCTGAACTCCAAGTCCCTCAGCCCCTCCTTTTCACTGCCACTAAAAACATCCATTCACTTCTTCCCTCTTCCCTCTTCCCTCTTCCCACTTCCGTGCTGTCACTTGTTCGCTGTAAAACTCGAAGCCCCTGGAGCTCTTCGGGGCCGGTGGCGGCCCGGGCTGAACTTCGGATCGTCGCTGTACGGGGCGTGTAGACGACACCAGGCCCGCGTCATTTGATATTGCCATCAGAGCGCACTAACTGGCCCGGCACGCTCCAGACGGACCCCCGGCAGGCCCACTCTAGCAGCCTCTGGGGCTGCAGCAGGACAGAGCACACACACACACACACACACACACACGCGCAGAAACATACCTAATACCCTCAGACAGCTAGTCAAAACACACAGCAATAGTCCCAGAGACTCACAATGTCCCTCTCAACACTAAAGCTGGGAGATAAAGGACTCACGCTGTCTGTGGGGTGGTTATTTAAAAGTCAGAAGCTCTTAAGTCTTAACCTCACAGAAACGTCCCCTTTTGTTTCTGCTCTTGCGGCACCGAGGCAAACTCGAAGCAAACTCATAACTTTACTTCTTGAAGTAGACGTTATCCTCCTCCCAAAACCAGGTGTAGGTCAGGTTGCCGGGATACGCCTCCGCTTGGCAGGTGAAGACTGCCTTCTGGGAAATGTTGACTGTGACGTTTTCAGGTGGTGAGACTATGTATGGAGGCCCTGAGAGAAACGAAAGCAGGAGTTATTCTTGTTTGTACAACAGATTACTTTAACTATTCAAAGCTCTTACGACAGTCTTTTTACTTGGTCGCTCCGTTTGCAGATTATGATTTGTAGGTGGCCTTGAGCCAAGCGGAATTTCAATGTCTTCCTAGTGGTTTTTCTTGTTCAACAGCAGCTCTTGGAGAGGTATTCGGGATATTCGGCTGTTAGCTACGCAACCAGGTTTTGAACTATGCCTGTTTTCAGGGTGTTCGGTTGATTCGGTAGACCATGGAAAGGGGTGCTATGGCTAAACTGAAAGAAAACAGTAAAAGGTGTGGGTTGTAGAAAAAAAAACTAACAAACACAATGAGCTGACAGAAGCCCTGTGGAGCTGAGTGCAACTGAAGAGGGAGGTGTTAGTCATCTGTGAGGCTTCTTTCATGTCACACATATTCACTGATCAATCAATGTAAAAAAAAATAATTCTTCTTCTTTTTAATAGTAAAAATTTAATAATTTACTCAGTACACACAAATACATGTATTATACAAATATATATATATATATATATATATATATGTGTGTGTGGGTGTTTTTGTGTGAAAATAAGAAGATTCTTTAGATTATTTAGAATATCTCTCTACTGACGTCTGACTACAGCCTGTTACTGTAACCTCAGCAGTATTCGGAGTTCCAGGTTGTGTGTGCTTCACATTTGAACCCCACCGTCCCCCAAGGCACTCTAAGTTCGCTGTAAACTCTCAATAAAACAGTGGAAGCCATGAAAGGTAAGCTGTCTTTTATGAGAGAGGCCAGATACAACCCTCATGGTGACTTTTCCTCTCCATGTGCGCGGCTTTATATATCAGCCGGGATGACTGGTGGCACTGTGCAGGCGTCTCGCACAACAATTAAAAACGGATCAGTGCAGAGAGAGAGTCGGGATTCCTCCCACATCCGCTCGTTATTGCCGAACAAAACTCCGGAACCAAAATATTTTTCTGGTTTTATTCGAGCTACACAGTCGATTTATGGAAGTGTTGCAAACATTAGCCCCGATCACTTATCCTACTTGCATTATTCAGATATTACAGTCTCAGAGGTTAATAATGACTCACACTGGCTCTGATTAAAACATTAATGTCTCACATAGCTGGTGACTGATGGATGCAAACAGGTTATTTTAATCGCTCTTTGATTTAAAAAGACTTTGTCTTGATATTTCAGCTTTTTTCTCGTTGTTTTAAAGCTAACAAAACGTCATGCTAATAAACTTGTCCCTCTAAAGCTCCATTTTGCTTCGGATTTTACGCAAGTCAAGACATTCCTGGTTTTATGGAAATTCTCCAAATCTCTGCTGTTCTGCAGCTTTTTTGAGGGAACAAATCGGGGACGGTTGTTTTCATCCCAGCCTGAGCAGAACTCTAGAGATGACCCAGTTCTGCTGGCTGTCTTCATGTTGTTTGTAATGTTTTGTTTTGTATCCCTTCGACATAAATTTGAACTTCCAGCTCAGATTAGTGTGTTGCTTCAAGGTGTCCTCTGTGCCGTGGATTTTCTGTTGACAATCAAGTCAAGCAATTTGTGTGTGTTGTTATGTATTTCATGATGATTTTAAGCTGGCAATAAACCTAGAAATAATAAATGCAACTCGTAAATAATTACAGCCATCCATTTTGGTTTAAAAGAACAGTTATAGGTCGGTTTGTGAGCTGAGTAAGGGTAGTAATTCTGATTATGCACGACTACGACAATCAAAATATTTGATTATGTGATAATCGTGACGTCCCCACGTGTCTATTTAAAAGAGCTTGCTAGGAAACGCCGACATGTGGACAGAATCAACCCACTATTCTATTACTGGGCAGCAAAAAAAAATGTAGCTATTGATTTTAGTGTTTAAAAACAAGCAGTGAAGAGTTTAAATGACATGCTTGCTTTACATGTCATTTAATTCCTAATCAACCTTTTAGGAACTGACAATTGGCTGTTGGGAATGTCTGTGTGTTGAGTGGTGGTATCTTATGAGCCCAGGTTTTATCACGCCATCACTTATGATGGACCCTGCCTGTTTTTACTGATTTGAAATGTTTATTTAAAAAGTGCTTTTACTCTATATATATCCAATAAGAAGGAATCATACCACGATAATTATACTATATTGTCTACTAAAACCTAAGCTAATAGACACATGACTTCATATTAATACTATTTTCTATTTTTCTTAACGTAAAAAATATAATTTTCTTCCTCTTCTGCAACGCTATAGCTAGCCAGAAAAGCAGGAACATCTCTGGAAAAGTCACAATCTTTCCATTTGTAATATCCATACCTGAAATGTTTGTGCTTTTCTCATATTAAAGTGCTCTCAACAATGGCTGCGGTACCACAAGGTTAAGTTTGGTGCACTGATTAAATACTAAATGGCTTTGTTAAACCTGTCCTAACGCCGCTGCATCACACGTGTCACTGGGCAGACTCTGTACCTGCTCTCAACACAACCGCCGCTGAGTGTGTGTTTGGATTTGTGCGCGTACCTGCATTTATTGTACTGTGAACACAGGGAAGAGCTGTTTGCACGTACAGAAGTCAAGCGTTAAAATAGACCTGACGCCTACTCCGCCATAAAAGCTGGATGCTCAGTTGCTTGTTAAACACACGCCGTTAACTCCCTGAAGCCCCGCTGTATCTGAAGACCGCGAGGTACTGGAGGCTGGTATCACAAGCATCTATCTGATCTGTGTCTAGCAGAGAGCCTGGTTAATGGACCGGAGTCAGACACTGACGTTCTCGCAGACAGATCCGGCTGCACACGCATGGGATGTGTACACGAACGCGTACACATGCACACACTGCTAAGAGGCCCCAGACTGAAATATTGGACTGGCTGACACAGTCCCATAAGGTATGTTGCACACATCAGTGAACAAGTGAGCTGTATGGCTTTGACTTTAAGTCCAAACACTGAAACTTCACCATTTCATTGATGCTGCTCAACTATGGCGGCAGGTGAGGGATCAGGGTGCAAGTTTTTATTACATTTAGAGGTCTGATTATGTGTTCAAATGTATTTTTAACGAGACTCACTGTAATAGGAAACAGTTATGTATGTGGTGCTACTCTATGCAAACCTTACCTTGAACCAGCAGACGGGTGGTGTGGAGCACTTCCCCCTGGTCACTGTAGGCTCTGCAGGTGTACGCCCCTCTGTCATCTCTGGTGATGCCAAGAATGCTTAAACTGCCGTCATGAACCTGTGGTCCAGGGGGAATTACAAACAGCACCACTTAACATATAAGCTCTGACACAAAACATTACAATATTATTACTTAACCAGCTAAATGATCCACGGTCACAATCTCTGATAATCTCCCAGTTTTCCAAATATGTTCTCACATTAAATCGGAAACGAGAGTTTGAAAGCTCTTTTTAGATCTACAGGGCACATAGAAGGCTTTTTTCTATTGAACTGGAAATTATAATGGAGATACTTTATCGTTTTACAACATTACTTTGGCTAGAATATTTAATTAACTGTGAAAATAACGGCTAATTGAACCAAATGGTGTGCAAATCAGGTAAGAAAGTCCTGGTATGCTATGCAATTGCCTTACCTTACCTTTATATAACAGAAAATAGAATACAAATCTGAATAAAATAAAAATACAAATACACTTTCAATTTACATTGAATGTATTAGGACTTTGTATACCTTCATTAAAAAAAATAAATGCTATATGCTATAAAAAGTTTAGAGTTTCTCAAACTAAATCCCACTTCTTTCGTTGACACTCTGAATGCTGGGAATTTTTAGAGCGTGACATAACAAAGGCTCTGACTGTCAGCCAAGAGGAAGACAAAAATCAACCAAAAAAGGGAAAGTGGGTATCTTTCTCACACGGAGCAAACCACAAGTAACCATGAGCACAGACAGCTCCCCGTGCAAAGGAGAGAGGAAAAAGAAAAAAAACTGTCAGTAGACAGCACCATGAAAGTCGTTTCAGCCGGAGGATGTCGTCTGTCTAATGCTAAAATGTTCCAAAGTTAGTGGAAGAGGTCACTGAAAACCAAACATTTTGATCACATTGCCTTATCCCAACCAGCGGCGGTGTGACGACTTGTGTAATGCGAGGTATTTTGGGATAAAAAAGGCAAGCCCTCTTTTTTTTTTTAGTTTATTGCCCGTTTTTAGGCATCCCTCGATATAATCTGTCATAAATCCTCTATGAAATGCATCAAATTCAGTTTTGTGCCAATTATTTTTTTTCCGGCAAGGCAGAAACAGGATGTGCTTGTCCCTTACTTAAACTCACAGCCAAATGTAGGGTAGTGTGAAATAAGAAACACTAATAAAAACATCTCAACTGTGCGTTTTTTATAACAAAAAAAAGAATTCTACAACAGGTCAATTAAACACAATGACCCCAATCTTTGAAGTGAGCTGAGAATTACCTCAAATGAAAACCCCAAAAAAACAGAAAGAAAAGTCACTCCTATGTCACATTTAATTAACTCCAGGTCTTATTACTGCATTCAGTAACCTTGGAAACGTCAAACTCTGTCACAGCGTGTTCCTGTGAGCAGACACTGATGAGAACCAATAAGAGTAAGGGGAAACACATTACCCAAAACCTAATAGAAATACCCTCATAAATTATGCAACAGGTTGCGAGAGGCTCTGTCCATTCAAGTCACACACAGCTGTGGTCTCTCCATTCACACAGCTGAGGGGGGGGAACACGCTACGGCTGCAGAATTACTCCTATTCATCCCTCCCTCAAACGTTTGATAGCCAAGAGATGCTCCTGGTGGATAAAGCAAAGCAGCTTTCAAATTCTGCGCGTGTTGGCAAACTGTGTCGTCGTCTATCCTTCACAAGATAACACTTTGTGTTCCCCTGCTATAAACAAGCAGCACGTGTGACACACTGAGTCCTCGGAGAGTAAACTAATCAGAGACGGCTCGCGAAGCAACGGGAAGTTTGGAGAGCCTCGTGCAACAATTTGAATAGTTAGAAAGGATTAGAATTGCATTTCTTTGAATGGTCAGACTGAGGTGCCTAATGTTCTTCTCCAGCAATGTCCATGTGTGAGTGCCAGGACATAAAACAGATAATCAGCCAATGACTGGATATCCACTTTTCCGAATATTGAAGAGAGGAAGTGGCTTTTCCCGTTGCATCATTTGCACTGATGCTACCACTGAGCTGTAAAAAGTTCAAGTGAGCGTGGCGCATAAAGAGCTAATTATGAGATTACCTTTGCTCATTTTACATGCAACATAAGCGTGGGGATGTGGGCTGGCGCAAGACTGAATAATGAAACAAAAAAGGAGAGAAATCAAAGCTGAAAAATGCTTAATTGATTAAGCATGAACAAAAGTAGCCTATGCTGAGCTTTAAAACAAAGGCACCGCCTATTTGTAACAATCTGGTGTGCATGTTCAAGAATACGAATCAACAGCTTACACTTCATCACAAGCCCTAAAAGACTGTGAAAGTGAGGACATTAAAGTTATCTCAAAGCTAAGCTTTGCTAATGGAGGTCTAAACTGAGCTGAACCAGCAGCGTAAAAATAAAAAAAACATAAGAAATACAGAATGACAAATAATGCCTAAGTACACTTTAATGAATGACCTAAATTACAAGGGATATTGCAGAGCTCCAGCATCCCCCATGAATCATCCGGTTTTCTGGTGAATGGAAACATTACTGAGAGATTTTGTCAAGCTTTTTTTTTTTTTTAAATCCTGGGATTTAATGCTGCGTTGAATCTTTAAAGATCAAAAAATCAAATCGTCTTGGATGAATCTCTTACGCTGACTCCGGGGCAGTAAACATAAAGGAACCTGAAGATGTGTGACGCCCATCCGCCTGTTTGCATTGTTTCTGTGCCACAGGTGAACTCCAGCCAAACTTAGAGAAGATAAATGAAAGGGAACAGGAGACAGAATATCCAAGAACTTTTACTTTTGAATAGTGAGAGACTCGAGTTTTCTTCCTGGTTGCTTCTTCTTGTTTGTGATTTTTTTTAATGACCTTATAATCCTGTCTTGGCAGCTGTCCTCTGCTTTTCAACTCTTTCTTTCAGTGTCTTTTTTTTTTGTTCCAATTTTTTTTTCTTTTTTTAAAAGGTCATGAAGAAAAGAGAAGGATTCTTGCTAGACACCAGCCCTGTCTGTCACATTCCTTCCTTTCTCTGTGACGTCTCTATGGACCAGAGGATGTGGGTGAGCAAATACACCCTCACGCTCACCGTCAAACATTTTCACCGCAGGACAGAAACTCTCCCCAAAAATTTTAAGGGGATCTACTCGGAGAGAGAAGGCAGATGGGGTTGAGGAAGGCTGGGCGAAAGCAGAGAAGCTAGATAAATACGTCCTCTTGTAAGAGATTTTCCCTTTTAGTGTAGCATTCATTTTAGAACTAATGTAATATTGATGCGGAGAGGAAAGATTAATTATGCATCAGAGTGTTGTCTAATCATTTACCGAGGGGATGGTGTTAAAAAGAGACGACTGCAGGGAGGGGTGGTGGAGCCGAGACGCAAAATGAAAGAGAAGAGGGAAAAAAAGGCCCTTAACAGACTCTATATGCTGCTGTCACTTCCTCTAATGTATATCACAGAGGCAGCTGGGAGGACTCCATAGAGCCTGCAGCGGACTGCAGTATCAGTGACATATGAGAAAGTGAAGGCACGCAGGAGAGAAAGACCACGGCCACTTGCGAAAGAAAAGTCCAAAAAGCAGTTAGAAGCAGTTTAAAAGAGTGCTCCTCGTTTCTTTGAGAGCGACTGCTTTTTCACATCAGCCGCTCTGGTTTAATTTCCTCTTTCAGTTAACCTCCCCTTTTAAACGTGTAGGTGGATAAAACTGCTTCTGATCGAGTCTCGGAGAAAAGAGGGTGACATTTACACCTTTTTTTTTTTTACCAAAGATGCAACATCATGCGGCTGTTACATATCAGCACTCGCGAGTATCTGAGTCATCCGCGCCGGAGCTGTCTGTTAAGTGTCTTTTATTCTCCGTCAGCGGCGCTAAACACCTGATGTTTACCGATGTTGCAGTATGTGGAGGAGACATTTTGCAGCTTTCAAACAACACCTAAACCCTGCCAGAAATATACATGACATCAGACATTCTGCTGCTTTTTTACTTTTTTTTTTTCAAAGGGATTGAAGAAATAAGAATCCAGCGTGCACGGTGCCAGTGGCTGTTCATCCCACTCTTCAAACCGATTAAGAACCCTTTATAATTTTAACTAAAAACGTCACATGGATGCAGGAACAAGCTACCAATCAACTTTACCAAAGTGAACACATTGTGGTTGTTTTTTTTAACTAGTCAGCAGGTACTTTTAAAAAAAGTGAAATAGATTAAAGAGTCAGTGAGGAAATACGAAAAATATATGTTTACATTGTTCATATATTTTGGGGGGGAATTCATTTAAACTCAGATGATCAACTTTAATGATGAAAGCATTAATCATAAATAAAAAATTGATATAATCCTCTATAAAAACAACCAAATGAAAAGAAGATCTTAGCCTGGGTGAGCAATATACACATGTATATACTCCTTTCTGTACAGATGGTGATGGACACCATCTGTGCACAGAGTCTACCTCTATGTTTTGTAGGCCATCATAAGTCTGAGATTCTGTTATCACATTTTCTTACCGAGTACTTTGCGTTGGTTGCCAGCTCCTCCCTTTCCCTCAGCCAGCTGATGATAGGTTTTGGATTTCCCTGGGCAGAGCAGCTAAGCAGAGTGCTCCCCCCCTCCTTTGCCTCTACATATTGCGGCGGTGTCGCTGTAAATGATGGTGGGGCTGTGGAGAAAAAAAAGAAACCGTGACCCCGACAGTCTACACTTTTTCTACACAAAAACACCTCAACGAGGACTGAAATTGCTGCGTGAAGGGTCCATTTTTCTGCGGGCCGCTCGTTTGGAAAGCATTCATCATTGTGGCTGTAATTTCTTCATTTACCTCGAGCGCCATCGCAGCGGGTCAAAGCTTTTACTCATCCTGCATACGGGAAACTGTCAAACAATTATGTCCATTTATAAATCCTTCGATGCATCTTATCTATATATTACTGAAAGCATTATCTTCGTGTTTGTCTCTATATATAAGGCTTTTCATTTGAGACAGGGGAAATTCTTCCTGTGTGCATACTGTTTTTGTAAACTATTGTTTTTATGATCTCGTAATTAAGAGAAAAAGATCATCCCAGGTTCTCACAGAGAATATATTCATATAAAAGAGTAAAACGAATTCCCAAAATGAGTTATGCCAAACAAACTTTGTCCCAAAGCTAAGTTTCCTACTTCTAAAACCTCAAATGAAAGCAACGGGTTGACACTTGATGGGAAGAGCTGAAGCTGAAGCGGTGATCGAGTTTGCTCGTGAGCTCGGTTATATCATTCAACGGTTCCTGTGCTGCTTGAAATGTTTTATTCCTCTCAACACAGCTTCATTTAACTCCACACCAGAAAAACAAACCTGCAAAAAAACATCTATAGCTTTTTTTCTGAGAGAGACATAAAGTATCCGTCAGTGATGTTTTCAGAACTCTTAATGGGTCGTGTCTAACATATATATATAACATCTGATACGATATAACAGAATTTTAGTAAGAAATAGTGCAGGTTTGCATTTCAATATTAGTAAAGATCTAAACATTCTAAGCTGCTATGGTGTTTGTTGACATCTTTATAAGGTTAAATTCTCATTTTGAATGTTTACAACAGGTCATGATTCACCTCTATGGACATTATGAAGGGTGTAGTGCACGGTGGTCTTGGGATTTGTCACATTTTACTTTATCTTATTGTCCTTTCGAGACACGTCGGGCACAAATCATGAGGCCGAAAATGCTCTTTCATTGCAGGCTCCATGAAGGGATCGTTTTTCCACAGATCACCACCAGCGGTGGCAGTGGAAATGCAAGCAGGTTGATAACAATGGCCCGGCGGGCTGCCTTTTTCATGACGGCCAGAGAGACCGCTGCAACATCCCTGCATTTCCTCTTGATTTTTCGGAACTCCTCCACGAGTCACGAGGGAGCTGTTCACCATCTCCCTCTGCAGCCTCCTCAGCCGGCCGCTTTCACTGTCTCAACATAATATTTTGATTATAAATAGCGGTACAGTATTTAGTCAAATAGAACAAAAAAAAAAGGCTCTGCCGTGGTACAAGTGGGTCAGCGCCTGCCGCCGGGAGTGGTGCCACGCTTCAGATTGCACACAAGCACCTGGCATGGAATAAACAAATTGCCCAATTAGCACATTAAGACATCTGCCTGTCCATACTGGCCTTTCACTCCCCAGCACTCATTACATTTCATGATACAGTAGATTAAATGAGACTCTAATAAAAAATGCACCGCTGATTCACGCGTTCCGGGCTCCTGCAGTTGATGGGTCAACTGCAACATTAAGCTGATCATGATACATCGTTTTAGTTATTAGCAGGAAACCCTGTCAAACGACTCCGCCGTAAATCTGCGTGTTTATTTTTTCAGATACGCTTCACTGATTCATCGGGGGTCATGTGCTGCTTATACCAAAAACATACCCATTTTTCTCTGTTAAAAAAAACTGTGAGTGTTATTTTTAGTGGGGCTTTTTCATCCATCCTTTTCTGCTAGTTCAATAAAGCAAAAATTCATAATTTAGTTTCAATTCAACATGATAAAAACTGCACGTTCAGCTTAAGAAATCCAAAGTGATGGAGTCGCCGGATCTATGATATTCCAGGTTTTATAAAACAATTTTATTTTTTTAAAACAAGACAGCCATTTGGCAACTTTCAAAAGTAAAAACATGGTTTTGGTCGTGACGGGCACCTCTTAAAAAGTTGCCATCCATTCAAAACCTAATTTGGATTTTTCTCAAGGGAACAAGCGTCAGCTGCCAGGAAGTAGGTGGCCCACGTGGCGGAACTGGCGACAGCAGCCGGCACAGCCGACCGCCTGGGAGTTGTTTCACATCGTCAGCTCCAGCTCGTCACAAAAAAAGTGTCACCTGGGAGACCTGGGAATTGCACCACAATAATAAAAGCTACCTGCATGCCCTACTTACTTCAGCACTTAATCAGTTCTATACGTTAAGAGCGGCTGTTTTTCTCCGCAGACCACACAGCACCGCAGATGGCTGAAATGCTAAGGCCTAGGCAACCGGAACGGCCTGATCTTTGAAGGTTTCAAGCTAAAAACACACCAAACTGAAAATTATTTGGCATCCTATTTCGCTCCCTGTGCTACACTTCAAATCTCAAATGCTGTCAGAGAAGTAGGCACCAAATGCCAAAAAAACAACTGAAAAAGACGAAAGTTTATTTTCTATTACACTAAGCAATGGAGACTGATGGGAGAAGGACATGGCTCCAGTTCAAATTAAGTGGAATGTAACTTCATTTGACAACCACATTGTCAGATGTTTTGTTTTTAATAGAGAAGGTTGAATCCTTTCTTACGGCTTCCACCAAAACTCTCCAGTCAAGAATCCTCACCTCGATACAAAATTGCACCCTAAGGGACCAAACAGTCTGGAGGATGATAGTTAACAAACCTCTGCACAAAAGGCCGACATTCGGACCTCTGTTCATCTAGGACCGTTCCACTTTTCATGTTTAGTGTGTAGTATTAAGTTACGATGGTGCAAAAAGCATTTCTGATGCCCTCGAAGTAAAAAAAAGCAGATGATAACCAGGGACACAAGGCTGGGGAAAAAAGGGGGAGGAGAGAAGAGAAGGAGGGGGGAGGACAGTGAGAGACTGGTCTTAGTGTCTTTTTCGGGCACAAGGCCTTGCCATCTGACACCTGCCACTGAGTGGGCACAAATTCCCTGTCCGCTTGGCAGGAAGTTGAGGCCAACAAACAGGAATTCAAAGGATGCAAACACCAACGGCCAAAGGAAATGAGTATCCCTCGTGTCTGTGCGGCCAGCCGAAAATGGCCACCTGCGTCCTTCAAAGACTCCCTTTTACACAACCCCCAGAACCTTAACTCCTCCGTTTGAGGTCAATAAGCTGAGCCAGCTGTTGATGTCTCAGCAAACGTCTGAAAATTGTTACCACGCCAGTCCGACAAAAGAAAAACGGAGTATTCACCTGCTTGCTCACACTTAACAGGTTCACTCATATTTAACAAGAAGACACAACACAGACATGAGGTCACAAATGCCAAATTTTCATATACCAAACACATGTGGCATTAAGGGATATTAAGCCTGAAGAGCTCAGTTTCTGTTGAAAGGCCCGACAGGAGTGGAGGAAGGGAGCAGTTAAGAGGGAATATTGATGAGGCGGCTACAGAGATGCAGTATGCCTACACAACAAGGCATTTATACAAACACACACACGCCTACAGATGTTCTCAAACTCCAAACATCACAGCAGTGTGCAGGTGACACACAATGACAGAAATGACTTATTCATCCGACTCAGCGTTAACCAGCAAAAAGTTAACTCCTGCAGCTCCTCAGAAAACAACACAAAACAAAAATAATAATATAATGTATATGTAATATACATGTACACGGAAGTCAAAGGCAGAGTCATTTGCAGTGTGTTGATACACGCTGATAGCAATGCACAGACAAGAAAACATGTTCTACATTGATAATAACCATTTACACAGATCAGCATTTCTATCCGAAAGTAATTATGCAGTGCAATGGTCTTTATAAATGGTTCTTTACACACTATTTCACCCACAGTGCGATGGGATCATTATTCAAGCAGGAAAACTGCAGCCATTGTGAAACATATGCATGATCAAATCGAATATTCATGAGTTTCACACAGCACTCAGAAGTTCACAGACCAAAAATATACATGCATGTGAACGTGACGGAGCTCCGCTTCCTGAGTCTCTCTAACAGCAGCGAGGATTACAGCTTTCTGAAGTTTGAAACCTGCGAGGCATCGGCGCGAGAAAATATCACCGCCTCTGGCTGAATCCTCTCATTTCACCGACTTCTCCAAAAAAGCAAATTAACAACTGCAGACGAGGGCAATCATTGGCAGTGTCAGAAGTGCCATTTTCTACATGGCGTCCGTCCTCAGCTTCCCTCGTATGAAACAAGGAAGCACCGGGCACAAAGGCCTCATTGTCTCTGGCGCTCTGCAACAATGCGAAGACGCACCTCACACAGGATTCTCTCAGCCGCTGGGGCATTCTTGGAGAAATGCAAAAGGTGCAGATTTTTTTTCCGCCCGGTCATCAGTTTGATCGCTCTCAGACTATCGCAGACCATCCCTGCCGGATCCGCCTGAAACTAGCCACAATCAATCCTCGTCTAACTAGCCTCTGACTCCTTTTAACCCGAAGCCTTTTGAAAGGGAGTGATGTGAAACACTGGCTCGGCCAACGCTCCTAATTTAAACGATAAATTCGGTACTATCCGCTAAACTGGGGAGTCGGATATTTGGCCGGGACAGCTTAAAAGCTGCTACACGTGAATCTTTTTTTCTCTATTTTTTTCAGATTGTTTAATGACTTATTTTTGTGCTTCATTAAATCATCTGTTAATTAATTGTAAATTAGCTGTAAAAGAACAACTTAACTGAACATGCATAGCACAGACCCAGCCGGTCACTCTCATTCCTGTTGTCCATTTGGAGACATCAGTTTACCAAACATTCATGCTTTCGGACAGTGGCAGGAAGCCGGAGTACAGAGACAGCCTGTGTTAACAGGGTGAGAACGTCCACGCCGAAAGGCCCCGGGATTTTTAAAACCGGACACTTTCCATAAGGTGCCAGCGCTCGTCGCTGGGCTGATCTGAAGTGACCAGTAAAGGGCCTCGCGACTCACCGTTCACTGTGAGGTGCACCCAGCTGCCGTTGTGGAAGGTGTCGTACTGCTGCTCCAGCATCAGGACCCGGCACTCGTACCAGCCCTGGTCCTCAGAGCGCACCGGGTCGATCTGCAGGGAGGCCTTCCCATGCAGAGAGGTTCTACCTGCAGAAGACAGGGGACACAAACACGGGTCAGTTACAGAGCTGGGTCTTTTTTTTTTAAAGGCATGATTGAGCTTAGGTTAGGTTTCTACTTATTCCATCTTCATTTCCCCTGCATTTCCCTTCAGATACTCACTCTCAACCTTTATTTTTCCAGGTGCAAGATTGGAATGACAAATGATTTTGTCGGTTCATTTTGGCAGTTCGACAGTCTGGAGTATTTCCAAACACTGGTTGCTGCAAGCGCTCTCGCAAAACTAACGGGGACCGATCATTGAAAACACTTATTGTAAATTGTATATGAGTTACTCCTATTGTTAAGAAAAAATACCCCTGTTTTTTGGCTCAGAATGCGACTAAATCAGTATCATTGAACCTTTTTAAAAGACCACAAAAACCAATGCTGAATCAGCAGATATACCTCGCTGTTAAAGTCATCTAAAAGCAAAAGTGTTAACAGGGCGATATCAACTGCCACTGGTCATTTCTCTGCAAGCAAAACTGAATGAGATCCTTCATTTGAAGAAGAAATAAACAGAGAACCAGCAGGTAAGTGCGCTCATATAGTTTAACAGTACCCACTTAAGTGTTGTTTACAACAATAGCTATCCTTTTACCCTTTAAAATTCCCAATGTAGAAACAGAAGCTAACACCTATTCAGTATGAAGCCGCCACACCAGCTGATTAAAAATAAAAGTTCAACCCTGTGACTGCCACAGTGTAAAAAATATCAGCCCCTCTGCTTCACACCAGTCACATTTCTTCTAAAAACTTCTCCATCCCTTCCTCCTCTAACTTCAAGGCTGGAGATAAATTGGAATTGTAAAGGGGGAAATCGCAGGGGTTCAGGCGCAGCTCGGCAAAGTGAGATCTTCAGCTCCAGCTGCTGCTCACACGGTTGCCTCTGACAGCTTAACAGTTGCTTCTCCTCTATCTGACGACCATTTCGATTATTCATTTTTTTTGTTCTCCCAAACTTTGATGCGTGGATGTACTGTAAGCACAGCTTTCCGTTACATCAAACCGAACGTCAGGAAAATAAATCGACAATGACGGCGGGCTGAATGGCTCCAGCAGCAACGTAAATGGACTTGATAAGATACCCAACACCGAGAGTGCTGTCGTAGATGGGGGAAAAAAAAAACAAAAAAAACAGGGTTTTTTTTCTTAGCAGAAAATCAATACAGAAAACAGGAAGAGGGAGGAGTGAGGATTGCAGCCTTGCAGTAAAAAGGTAGCTTGTCTTTAAAAAAAGTCATGTCTATTTTTGTCTGGGCATTGAAGTGCTGAGTGAGGTGTGGCGGCGTGAAGGGTGGGGATCAAGCTCGGCTCACATTCGTCAAAAAGTGAGCTGGTGCTACTGTAAGCACTGTACCCCCCCCCCCCCCCCCCCTCCCGGATATAGACCACTTATATAGAACAAGGTTCTGTCTCCTGTGAAAACATAGGAGACACCCCTTGATCACATCACAGCCTTCCCCTGTTTGCAAAGCTATGGATAAAAGAAAGAAAACACATATATACTGTATATATAAAATTGTCCATATGAACTACATCTACATGTGTCAAGTGTCCAGTCATTCTTTTGATCAAGTTCTCTCAGAAAGTCCAGCTGTGATGTGATCAAAGTCCAGCAATGACCAATTTTGGGGGCAAAAAGTAAAATGACATTTTGCTTCTATGACATACTCAACAGTGTTCAAAATTCAACGCAACTTAAGAATTCAATGAAATAATCATTATCTCCCTCAAAAGAAGTGAGAAAAATGTAAGATTTTGTCTGCATCCATCCACAGATGATTATTACGACACAGTATTCAAATAGAATCCATATGTATCGATTCATGTGGCCAAAGCGGGTAGCCAGTGAGATGTGATTTACTTTTCCGGCCCCTCAAACCCAAAGCAGCAGGATCTGACACAAAAATTTCACAGACTGCACATCTGAATTATTGATTGCGTCTTTGCTAGAATGGGATCAAAAATAGATATTTTTTTAAAAAGCAGTCATTTCCATATCGCTGCAGGGCAAACTATAGGAAAATGATCTAGGAAGGCGGGGTGGTATGTGCCATGTTTTCCGTTTTGTCTGAATCAAAAAGCAGAAAATGTGCAGTTGGCGTTGCTTAGATTTAAAGGGTGCGTTAACGGAGCCGTGTTTAACTCTGAATGACAGGCGTACACCTGCTGCTGAACGCTAAATTGGACTGATATCCTTAAGCCAAATTATTCATTGAGGAGAAAACAAGCAACTCCTACATCACTCTGGAAATTTTTATTTAATCTTTATCTTTAAGTCTGTCGAGCAAAGATAACCTGCAGTGTTTAGATTTGTTTTCTGCCTTTGTGTGTCTCACATTCACTTTTCTCTTTGTGCTCTCATTGCACTCATAAGTTTGATTCATGCTCTATTGCTTATTCCTATAAATCGGACCAATTATAATAATCCTCCATTATAAAACATGTACTCTAAAACAGTGTCAATAATCGATATTCAAATTTCTGTCCTCTTCGACACCTTTTGAATAAAACTCTTCCTGGCAGCAAATTGTTCTTCATTAAATTACGTGTAGCTTCTGTGATTTAAAAACTTCCTAATGAATTCAGTAAGGTGATTGAATATCAACTGACGCTGCTTTTAAATTGACCTTTTTTTTTCTTCTGGATCTACGTTGTTGCCACACAAAACAACACACTCTGACCCTAACCAACGGGGTATATGGCAAGCTGAAAGATTTCTGTATAAAAATTCTAATCTGCTAAATGAAACGCCGAAAATGTCTGGATTTGTAAATATCCTAAGTGCAGCATTCGCAGATAATCATCTGTTTTGGTAGCAGCTGCGTGATGAATAATCGCATGTATTCTATTCATTAAGTTTATTTATTCTGAGTGATAACAATTCATGGGAATAATCTAAATGAGCTCTGGGACCACATGAGGCCATTAAGCCCCACGTCCCAAACAAGCCTCTCACAGAGTCCAGCACCCCCCGTGCTTGTGATATCCCCAGAAATCATTTGAATCTATGGCCATATTCATCCTGCATCTGTTTGCTGACAATTCCTAACTAGTGGACTCAATGCCACTGAGGCAGATGGCAGATGCCCACTGATGGAATCCAAGTGACACAGTGGAGTGTTGTAAAGTGGTGCTCATTCAGAGCGTGCCGTTAGTCAGGAGGCTCCAGTAAACAATGAAACGCTCCGGCAGATCCGGTGTCTGCCGAGGCCTCTGCAAACCGGAGAGGAGGCTTCCCAAGACGATGAATCACGGCTTGAAAAGCTAGACGGGAGGAATCTGAGTGAATTCAAAATTATTCATACAAAGTCATGTGATTCATATAAATAAAAACACAATTGTGAGTAAACCACTACAAAAGCAAATCCCCCAGCTTTTTAAAAAAAAAAGACATTCTCTCTCTTCATTTCAGCTTATTGTTTCTTGTAATAGAGGGTTTTATACTCACTTAAGAGAACTTCCCCAAAAGGAAGGGGAAGTTCTGATTTCCTACTGACACTTTTTTTCACAGGTTCTGGAGCAACATCTGAAGAACCAATTTCCCTCAGTAAGGAATGAGCCATGATGTGGAGCCCAGGGGAGGGAGCTTTTAAAGTTTGTGCGCTGCTCTGATTAATGTGATGCCCTAATTCCAAAGCTGCCCTAATCAATATTCTTACATTATCAGTGAATCAAACGTGAAATGAGTTGCCCTACTCAGCAGTTCAGTTTGGCTGTTGGGAGCTTTGCAGGACGACTGCTTTTGAATGCATGGGATTACATAAACACAACATAAACTTCAGAATTAATAATCAGCACTTAGGAAATCATTGTTCCATGGATACTTTTCTCTGGAGCCGTAGAGAAATAAAACATTAGATCTGTGCATATTCACTTACAAAAAGATGCTTTGATACTAAATACTACATGAGACAATTTCATATGAGACAATATATGATGATGGCCCTTTAAATTTTCCTCATGTAAAAAGCATGGTGTTGCATTTCAAGGAATCGCATTACTTAACGTGTCCTACCTGTTTTATGTGCGCTGCAGTGTCTCTGGACTGTGTGGGAAGTCATGTTTGAACAATGCAGGTGTGTTTCTAATACCCAATTATACCTCTCTGGTCACGCAGACTCAGCAGAAGCCCCGGTACAGCCACGAATGCAATGTTCAGACAGACAGAAATGTGTTTAATGACTAGCCAAGTTATTCTCTAACTACAAAAAAGAGAGACAAAATGTTGTAAGTAGAGAACCTTCTATATGAAATATATATCTTTAAGATATAATAATATATTTTCTAAATATTTCCGTTTTTTAATTGTAATTTTTTTTTTGGACATGTGGCTTTCACCTAAATCTCATCGAGCCTTTTTATGTGACTGGAAACTGTCTCACTTTCAGCATTTGAATTGTTTTAGTATGTTCTGAAAAACATGCTAGCTTACATCTTGATCCTGAATCACCTTAACATACATTTCACTCCTCCTTCAGTCCAGGTCTGTTCCAGGTCAGACTTGTTATTAACGATGTGTGTATTCTTTAAGAGAGCATTCGGTTGCTTTCCTCTTACCAGTGTACTCTGGATCCACATGTGGAGGGTAGTAGCGGAAGTTGATGAAGAAGGGAATAGGCACTCCAAACTTGAACCATTCCACCACATAGGGGGGCTGCTGGCCATCCAGGGGAGGGGACACGTCGCACCCCAGGATCACGCTCTCTCCAGCACGCGCCGTCACAAACCTGGGCTCCTCTCTCACTCCGTGGGCACCTGGGGGGGGGGGACAAAAGTCACTCTTGAGCCGGCAGCGGCGCTGCAGGTTGGCATGGAGGGAAACGCTGTGCAGGAAAGCGGATTCACGCACGCGATTCCTGCCGAGCAAGCGGGAAAATCTCATTGCAATCAAGTCATCCAAGACTAATTCACAAACAATAACTGGACACCAAATAAAGGCCATCGACCGCTCGTATTGATTCGACATAAATCCCGCCTGAGGTCCCCTGTGCTGTGCACCAGGACGGCAGCACAGGGGCGATCCCTTTCCCCCCCGTCCCATCTCCATCCGTCACCTGCGTCTGTCGGTGAGCGTCGGGCCTGTGCCGTACTGTATACTTCTCCATTGATCAGAGCTGAGCTTTACTACGAGCTTTACCCGCCGGGGGCCTGGCCATTCGCCACGCCGGCGTCCTGGCCCGTTGCCGAGGAGTCGACCTATCAGATGACTCAAAGGTGGGCGTACCTGCCTCAGCAGAACGCTCACTCTGGGAATGGATTTTCTCCAGCTGCCACCGAGCTTACTGTATCTCCGCAGGCCTAGCGTGAGCATGGCTGCCGGCCCCTGGGGGGGGGGGGGGGGGGGGGGGGGGGGGGTGGAAATCGCTTCGGGGATCAAGAGACATGCTGATTTTACCCTCCAGAGGACCACCAGCTGCATAAGTCAACGCTTTCGTTAGCAGCATCATTTGCATCATCAGTTCTAATTTTCACTGAAAAAACAATTACTCAGGAGGTGGAGTTATTTAGGACTCTGCTCATGTGGTTGATTCTAATTGTTGTGCAAAACTGAAATACTAAGAGGTGTGTGAATATGGCCAAAGGGAGCACACGGAAATTCAAATCCAAATGTTTTTATCCAGATTTTCTGACCGAAAGAGGGAAGTTTGACTCCACCCCTGGAGGTCATATGCGCCACTCAGTAATTGTGTTTACAGGTTTAATCTGCACTATCCTGTGACAGAGTTAATCCACTTTATTCCTTCCAGCGAGCGCAAATCCTGGACTGATTTTTAAGGGTGGAGATGTGGTCGGCCAGTTACAGGCGTCTCTTAGCTGGAACCTGCTTTTTCTGTTGTGCCTCTTTGGCCAAAAAACTGAGGAAGAAAAAGCCGTGCAATGCAACCCCACATGACCCACTGAAAGAACACAAGCAGTCTGATCACCCCCAGCAAAACTGCATCTGATTTTTATCAGATCAAAAGTGAGAAGCCGAATAAGTCTAATCTTTTTGTGAGAACTTCAGAAGCTCAAACCGAAGATTAGCTTTTTCGTTGGTTTAATTCGCACAAATGTTGGATAACTTTTATCCTGCTTGTGGGAAACTGAATGACCTTTAAACATATTTAGACATATTTGCAGATTCTGTTTCTAGTCTGATTTAAGATACATGGCTGCTGGTTTAAATCCACATTCAGTAAGAAAACTAACAACAATTAATTTAGAAATAACCTCAACCGGATTCAAAATAAAGCTGTTGTCACAGTTTGCAGAAATGGAAAACAGCTTTAAAGTTTATGACTCTGTCCTCCATCTTTTACATCAATTTTTAGAATCCATAACGTGTGCTTTTTTTTTGCCTCCAGAAAAAAAAAGAAAAAAAGAGTAAGCATAATGAACAACACTGGACACATTGTTTGGTTTAAGTAAGTAGAGTCACTTGACATGAGCCACACACTGGAGCCCGGTGGCACGAGAGAGCCATTGTTTTCTCTGCAGACAGTTCAGCTTGCACAAGTTCAGCAGCTCAAGTTTCTAGCTTACATTTTTTTTTGGGGGGGGGGGGGGGGATGCATGTGGCAAGGAGAGAGGAGCTCGTGTTTGGAAGCAAATAAACATCGAGGACTATAAAACATCGCAGGGGCTAATAATTCCCCACTTCTTTTATGAGAATCTCATGAGGCGACAATCAGCGCTGGCTTGGTCACTGCTTTTCATTTCCTTAATGGAGACACAGTGACCCAGCGGGCTTTATGCGATCTTGTTACGCGGGAATATTTATGTGCTCAACAAGTCGTAAATGCTAAACAAGGATTTGTGCTTAAGATCTTGCCAATAAATAGCAGGGAGGATATTAAGAGATGGATACAACTTGCGTTTTCTTTGGAAAGTTACATTTGAGCAAAGCCAGAAACTCTCCAAACACGAGAACAATCTGTTGTGTGAGATCTACCTAAATCAGACATCCGCGCTAAATCTTACTGACCAATACTTTTTACGTGTCTATTTTCAGCCTCTTGTGAATTTACTGCTGTGATCGTGAATTCCTGAAGGGTAGGAGCTGAGACACCTGTCAGATAAATCACCTGTGTGGCAAACAGCTTGGCTAAGCTGCATCCCTCACAGGGGGGAGGATCTCCCCGTTTGGAGCTGCTCGGAAAAAGAGATGCCGCAATGAGTCAGTGAGAGTGAGGGTTCGGGCTTTGAGTAATGACTGTTTACATAGTCCACCAATTGGCTAATCTTTTAATCTATGGATTGTTTCAAATGTATAATGCCAAAAAAAATTATGCAAGAGACAGCTGGTTAGCTGAACAAAGCTCAAATATATCTTAAGTAAATGAATAAATAAACAAACCGAAAGTACAAAAGGCACAAATTTTAATGGAATATATCAACATTCGCCTCCGAAATCCCTGCAGTGAAGCAATTTCCCTCTGATTCATGCAGGTCTCTCAGTTTGAACAAATTTTGCGGCTCAAAGAGGTTAAGACGTCAGATTTTTCCCACAGAGGAAATCTAATGAGTGCAAAGATAGCTTGTTCTGTGAGCTCCTTATGGTCTGACTCACAAAGCTTTGACGGTGTTTCAGTCTGCGAGTTGGGAAAGCAGCAAAGAACCCTCAAAAGTAAAGAGTGTTTTTCGGAAAACAAACAAAGAAAAATCAATTATCAAAATAGCTGCTGAGTTGCAAGCAATTATTTCGCTGTTGATTAGCAAATCAATTACTAGAGTAATTGTTTCAGTTCTGGAGAGAGTTCTTTTTGTAGAGACTGAGTCAGAAATCTCATTTACAGAGGGCTAATCAAATCAGGGTTCTCAAGTATAGCCCAATATCAGCCAGCAAAAGAGAGATGTTCGCTGTAGCCCACCAAAAAATGTCACAAGCATCATAAACTAATAGGAAACATCTGTCCGAGGCCAATCGAATGGTCAAATCCACTCGACAGGAAAGAAGGAGCACGCGAGGTTAAAGCCACAAGAGAGTGCTCCTTTTTTCAAGTGGCGGCGGCTTAAAATGGCTCTTTGAACAAAAAGCCCACTACACTGTACTTCCAGTAATGACTGCAGCTCTGTACAGTAAAAGTCCTCTCGAGGCAATTTTTGGGGTAATAATCAGACGGAACAGGCTACCGTTTTGACAGTAATAAAGTCCAATAACGCAAAATATGAAAACCAAGAAAGCCCAGAGAAAAGGGCATCACTCGGATTTTCCGAACCTCGTTCCCCTAAATCTCTTCGTGAGACTACGATCCAATATCTGGCCGGTTCGGTGTATTGACCGGGTGTTTTCTATTGCTCACTGCAGCCATAGACGTTTTAAGCACCATAACGTTATCGGTATGTATGTGTGTTTATGTATATGGGAGGCGCTTTATGCTGGCCGGAGCTCCTGATGCGGGGGATGTAATGGAATATAGACTGGACGGAGTCTGCAGAGAGAATTGTATGGACGTGCGGCCAGTGGGCTGGACGGGCCACTGACAGGGTGGTAATTGAATGCCAGCCTGCATGTGCTGAAGGTCACATCAGAGAATGGCCCGGCTACGCGTGTGTGTCCAGCAGTTTGAAGGTGTGGTCTGTATATGGTTGTGTTAATCTGGGCTTGTAACATTAAAACCATCATAAAACTAAACAGTATAGCAACTGTCCCATTAAAAAATAAAGAAAATGTTGAAATGACAAAAGAGAGAAAAGACGTGTTTTCAGCTTTCTTCATGTTTTCATACGGTCATCAGCCATAGTTACCACTGTCCCAACTCCAGCTTCCTCAATTATGTCTAGCAAAGAACATGGTTTTTCTACAAAACTACCTAAATGCAGACACTTTATTTGCAAGCACTAGATGCAAAGTGTACACACATGCACAGGGCAACGTGCAATCCACAGCAGGGAAACACTCCAACCTCCATTTACTACAATCCATCCATCCATCCTAAACTATATATCAGCTTGATCCAGTTCAGGGAGCTGGAGTCTATCCCAGTTGCCAAAGGATAAAAGGCAGCGAGACCTCTGGATACATCCATTGGAGCGCATATTTCCTTTAAACGAAGAGCACTCCTGCTGCAGAGCTACAATCAAACTTTTTCAGATACTGTCCAGGCAGTTGTAGCTAAAAAAAAAGACCCTTGGAGAGCTTCTGGTTGAACACCAACGGAGCTGGGGGTTAGGCAGGAAACCCAGCCGGCCTTTTCTTGGGCTGGGGAAAAGCGTTTCCGTGCAATTAATTGTTCAGGGCTCTGGGGTAAGAGGAGCTGAACATGACTGATACGATTAACATGCAAAAACAACAGCGGATTGCTTGACAACAGTTGTAATTTGCTAGGGAAAAAAAAACGTGTTCCTGACCTATTTCCTGTGCGTACAGTTTCATTTATGAAGATTCTGTACAACAAAATGGCCGTGACTGTCCTCAGTCTTTTAAGTTCATCTTTGTAATATCTAGAGACTCAGTCCTATAACTCATATTCTCTCTCCTGCTTGATGTTTTTGTTTTCATGTCAGCAGGGTTCAAAAAAGCTAATCAAGCAATGCCGTTGGAGAATTTCCCCCCACCGATTTGACAACATGAATTGATCTCGTTATTTCTTTGTCTAGACCCTCATATCTAAATGCAAAGCCCAGCCCACTCTTTCATTACAACGGGATGCTGTCTCTTCACTAGCTTTTGATCATCTGGATAAATGTTCTATCAGTGCTCTCTCAGGGGTTTCCCAGGCTCACTCTACCAGTACACCATTCTACTATCAAACACTCGACTGCAGAAACACATCCAGGCAG